AAGGAAAGGATGTAATAGGAGCTAAGTCTATTGTCATACACTGGGTATAGTTCCAAAACGAATCATATTAAGTATCATGGCCCTTAAATGCATGATTTTTTATTTTTATTTAAAAAAAATGGTTTCCGATCATTTTTGGGCCATAGGTTAAGGGAAAAATAATGAAAAAAATCTTATGACATTAATATTTTTTTTATTAAAAAAAAACTGTTAGTTGACATTTGGCAACAATATGCGTATACAAGTAAAACAAATCTGACATTTATTTAAAAATTAGGATTGTATGCCATGGAATGTAGCGAAACAATTCCTGTACTTTGTGTGACATAAAGCTACCTTGCATTTTGTGCATTCGGTGCGAGGAAATCCCTTGCAGCCGGGAAGTTTGCATCTATTTTTATTTTCACACCTTCGTTCATTGTGGTCAACACCATCTGTCCTTACATCTTTTGGTGGAACAGGCTTCATATTTCCGCGACTTCTTTTGGCTTCTATTTCCTTCTCTAAATTCGAAGTAGAAGGCCGTCCTCTTTTATTTTCAGCTGTATTTTTATAATTACATAATGCTTCTGCCAGCTCCCCTCTGTAATCAGCCAATGTCATGTTTGCGTTTGGATTCTTTTTTTTATAGAGAACCCATGAATTGATTACGGCCATATCGATCATATGATAGAAAAGACGCATGTACCACTTGCGGCTTTTGATCCTGATTTTATATCTGCCCAAAAAGCTATCCATGAGATCAACACCGCCCATGTGGGCGTTGTAATCTTTGATTATTTTTGGGCAGGGTATATCTATTTTACGTTTTATTTTCTTGTCATATCTACAAACTGTAGTAGCCGGTTCAGAGCCAACATAAGTCGAAGCCAAAGTGACTACTTTGTTGTCTTTCCAACATGTAACTGTTATGTCAACACCGTCATAATCAGCGACTTGCTCTTCATAAGAACCTCGAGAAACAGTCTCCTTCATATAATCTTTTACAGTAGGCAGCTTACAATTTTTTCCCAGACGATTTCTTTGGATAGTCCCCAATGCATATATTCCTTGCTTTTTCAAATAATAAAGTAAGGGAATCGAAGTATAAAAATTATCGAAATAAATTATATGATTTTGCATCCGTGGTACTGAACGACATAAACGAATCACAGTGTTTCCTATAACACCAAGATCTGGTTCTCCTGGAAGATTTTTATCGTCTTGTTTTCCAGAATATATCTCAAATGTATAGGCATACCCTGAAAGCGAACAAAGCACGAATAATTTGAATCCCCACTTGTGGGGTTTGTTTGGGAGATACTGTTTCATAAAATGTGCTACCTTAGTAGAACACATTTGTTCAACGATAATCTTTGCTCAAATGGAGCAGCATTCATGAAACATTTATTCAGATGTTGTATCAGAGGTCTTATCTTATGAAGGCGGTCGTGTTGTGGATGATCTACAGGACGGTGTTGGAGATTGTCATTGAAGTGAATGACCGATCGTAATTTCTCAAATCTGTTCACGGTCATTGTCTGCATTATATTTTGGAAACCATACTTACCCCAGTATGATCTTACACTGGGGTAATGGAAGACAGACATAAATATTGTTATACCTAAAAACTTTCGAATTTCTTTGATACTGACTGGTGGACAGTTTGAAATGTTTTTTTGTATAATATATAAATTTGTCTCGTCAACAATTTTAGTGAGAATACCTTCATTCATAAATTGTGAAAACAATTGGAAAGGGGTATCCAACTGGGCTATTTCTTCAGGGAGTTTCGTTGATCCTAAAAATGTTATTCGTTCATCATTCCATTCCAGGTTCTTTTTTTTCCATACAAGTTCTCTACTTCTTGACCTCCACTCTGCTATACCTATACCACTTGACAGTGGTTGACCAGGCGAAAGTCCTGCTGCTGTTTCCGGAGACTGTGCCCTATTTGATGTTCCTTCTTCTTCAATAAGCATTGGTGGATTTTCTTCAGTTAAGTTTTCTTCATCATGTTCACTATCCAACTCTCGCAACAACTCATGATCATTAGGATAATAATCTATTTCATTTTCATCGCCGATATCATACTCATCTTCGGAAATATTACCGTTTTCTAACGCTGAAAGCATAGCCTCAATCTCCTTTTCCCGCAGTGATCGCGACATGCTAAAACAAAGCAAAAAGCTAAAAAGAATGCAATAAAACTTAGAAGCAGGCAAAGCCCAAGCAAGAATTACATTACCGGTATACGCATAGTGTAGACAAATGGCAACATTCATGTTTAGAGAAAAAACTTGAAGATTTGGAATAAATTTCAACAAAATAACATTTGATATAGCAAACTTACCTTTATTCCAGTGCAATATCAATTTTTATAAATCAATTTATATGCGTTTTCACAGAGAAAACAAAAATCAAAAACTCGCTCTCACGTAACTTACAAATTTTTCCGCCATCCAGAGCTGATGTCAAATTATTTAAAAAATACGCGCCATTTCACTTTTGACATTTACTTATATGACAGATGAGTTTTTAGTCTATGGTTACAATGCGTTCGGATACACAAATTTTATACATAACTCGAATAAATCGTGATTTTATAGTCCGTATACAATTGGCAACAATATGAATTTAAGGGTTAAGACTATTATCAACTTTAAAAGAAAATTCACCAATTCTTTTTTCTCTTTCATCCTTTTCTTATCTTTTCAATTTTGAAAGTGACTATTAAGACAGACAATAATAAGAAGGATATGCTAGGTACTACTCAGATTTTTGTTGGCTTTTTTAAAACGCCGACAAAGCTAAGGCAACTCTTCTGTTACTACAAGCGATAGACTCTGATACAGATTGAGTAGAAGAAGTTTAAGTTGAGTGGATGACCATCAGATGACCCGTTTACTCGATTGTATATTTCTTCTTCATTAAATAAATTTTTAACATCACTTATCACGCAGATACAAGTACTTCATATCGTGCGTTATAAAGGCAATAATTGTAATAATAACAGTAATTGTTGGAGGAAGCGTCTACTGCATTCCTTTTATTACCATATCAGCATACAGAATGGATAATTGTTTAGAGGCTACAGACGCAATACCACGAAACTGACAGTCGCTTCCTTATTGAAATTGTAATGAAGATAGACTCATCTTCATTACTGTTGTCGCTACTGCTTTGGTCCCTTTTTGGCTTTTGGTGGGAGAATGCATTGTGACATTTTTGAGGTGCCAAATCGTATGAAGATTTGATTATCGTATAAATCGGTTTAAATAAGTAAAAAGTACAGTCATTTCTGATTGCAGAAACATTTGAATGAATTTATATTAGAGAATCCATTTTTTTTTTCATTAAACTCAATTTACATTAGAATCGGTTTTCTTTAATTCTTATAAAACATATTTTAACTAAGTCTCCAAAAGTAATCACAAACTCATTCACACGAGAATGTTACCGATAGTAACAATAAATGTCAAACCGTCATCTTTGTTTTTCCAGTTTTCCCGCGTTATCCTTTCTCAAAGCATAGACAAGATGTACGGAAATCAAACAATCGTGAGAGGACGACAGGATTATTTGTCTTTTAATTATCACGAATGTGTCATAGATAATAGTTTCCTTGCCTTACACTTCCTTTATGACAAGATCGTGGATTCTCTAAAATATCTCCGTGACTTTACGTAGTAATGTAAAATTCTTTGTATATGAATTAATCGTGCGATGATATCCATCATGGGATGGACCACGGAAGCAAAACCTTATTCATGTGTTCATAGTTATGTTCATATTATTAATAATAAAATTATGTTTTGCATATTATGCCGTTGTTGCGAATTGTAAGTGGATGTTTGTTTATTATTCATCTTAATAATCTGTGGTTTAATGTTATTTAATTGATCTTTTTTAACTATATTTTAATGGCGAAGATTGAAATTATCTTGAGAATATAAAAATTACGGATTCTTTATTTGATCTATTTTATAATAGATACATCTAAATCTATATTATATAAATTTATAAAGAAATATTTTGATTTAAGTATTTAAGTTTAGATAACAAATGGTTTAAAATTTATTCATAGTTTAATATCTACCATTTTTATGAAATAACTTATTTAAGTACCTATCTACCTTTTACACGTTCCTTGACAGATTACCTGTATAAGTACGTATTTAGTTATTTTATTTCTACCTAAGAAGTGATTGTATAAAAATATACTTTTATTATTATGAAGGTTCGTTTCTTAGAATGACACTATGAAACACTGCACTTGGGAATTTCCTTGTTACTTTATGTTTATTTTGTACCTCATTTTGTTTACTTGGCTAAAACAAATTAGCATGTATGATGACTAGGTAGCTTGATGAAGGCGAAATGATGATTCAAGCTGTGTAAGGAGGATATTTGGTAAAATGTTGAATTTGTTTATATATATATATGTAAATAACTAACAACATGGAGTAAAATGTGATTGTTTATTTTTAAATATTGATATTGAGTTATTCAAGTATAATTTTTGGACTGATGATAATGGGAATGCTAAAGAGTATCAGAGATGAAAGCCATTAATTGAGTGATATGTATCTTTATTCATCTGCTAGTTGAAGTGACTTGTCATTGATAGAAATAATATTAAAAAATGTTTTATAAAATCTTATTTTAAGTAACTTAAAGCAGCTACGACATTGAAAATAAAACGCACAGTTTTAACTAGGCATATGCACACGTATAGTGAGATAAGTAAATAAATATATCACGCCCAGCCTCCGTCGGGCAGTCAGATCACGATCTCTACATTCCCACGATATTTCACGTCTAGTTTCCTAGGTATAATCATAATTTTGTCCCCGAACCGTTTTTCGGTAAATGCCAATTTTAAATTTTGACGTTGACATTTCTAGTGACATTCGTAAGACGCCATCTTCTTTTTTCTTGACGACTTTCTGATCAGTGTGTTTTTTTTATTTTTTTCTTTTTGTGGTTGTGTGAGTGTAATGTTTATGTTTTTTGTGCAGGAAGGTGAAGAAGATGTTGGTGATTTGTACCAGGATGAGGAGAATGGAGCTGCCCTTCTTATCAGAAGACACCCCAAACACGGCAAATTAGTTGTGGTGAGTTATTCCACCTTTTATTCCCTATATATTCAAATGTCTGAAACTTCCAGGTGTCTAGCAGGCAATGACTACTAACTTACGCTTAAGTGTATGAAATGAATACACAAAATAATAGGTAATCCCATTACTATAAAATCAAGTAATCGAATAAAGTTAGAATAGCCACAATCGAACCATAAACAATGAACACACTGGCCACAAATAAACTTAACTACCTATTATTCAAAATTCGAACACGCTAACGTGCTGTCCGATTCCATATTTAGAACTTTCAAATTGTCCTAAAGTCTAATACTATTATTCCAAATTATACACAATTACTTCACGAAATTAACAACACTACCGACTTAATTAAAGGGCCTTAACACGATTGTTGAACGATGCGTGTCAAGAATGAATTTATTAATAATTATAATTATAACAGCTGTTGCAATATTTGACGCCATTTGCATAAATAAAACGTCATGCACTAGCTACTGTCAGTGTCAGTTCGGCGAAGCTAAAGTTCATCTGTAATTTGTTTGTCAGCAGTTTATCCGCGCCTTTAAGTTATTGAAAGATTAATTACGTCAATAAAATTTACGGAATTTATGTGATTTTATTGATTCGGTACCTATTTCAATGTATAATGCCCTTATAGTTCTAACGTTTGCTTTTGTTTGTATACGTAAGTTAAACAATTTGTCTAAGCTGACCTATCTGGGCTTTGATTCAAGTGAAAAATCAGGAAAACCTTTGGGATATCAAGCGATACCTGATCGCTTACCATAGGGTGATTTGCTCATTATCGTACCGTTTGCTCATTTGCATCCTATTCTATAAAAAAAGCAGAATTTGAAATTCATAGCGGCCAGTGTCAATCATATCTGCACTTATTTATCTGTTGAAGCTAATAAAGAGGTTCTTGAATGTTGAATCAATACTCTCATAACTCCAAATTTCTTTCCTATACATATTTATTTAATTCGGTATCTATCAAGCTCCTAGCAACAAAAGTTTCGTAATAACGTTACTAGTCACGTCTCTAGAGTCTTAGTTTATGGTTAGCAATGACATTGGGACGTGTACGAAATCCAGAGATTGTTACATCCTGTTGTATTTACGTATGACGTTTTATGTTAATCAGTTGTCAAATGTTTTATGATCGTCATCTAACGGCCAGTTACAACAAACTATCTGTCGGTAGAATTGTCTAGTAATAGAATTTTGTCACGATTTGTACGGAGCTTATAAAAAGGTCTACCTCTTACTGTTGACTAAAGAGATTCCAGGTTGGATGCCGAAGTCAGTCAAAGTCAAAATCATTTATTTCAATTAGACCAGAAACACAACGTCAACAAAAAGAAATTAAAAGTGAAGCTATTTGCTCATTCCAATGTGTAGATTCCTATATGTTGGCATGGTTTCTGGAATCGTAGCCGTATAATTATATAAGTCTGTCTAACTAAAAACAAAATCACGTTCAAATCACTTGACCACGACTGGATACTAAAAACTTCATATTATCAATTTTAAAAACAAATAAATCGACTAAATAACATTATTACGACAAAGAATTCAAACCCACTTTCTTACTATCAAAGTTGTTCATCTAGCTGTGAGACCATAGACACAATAGACTTGCAAACAAGACTAAGGTCGATTGCTCAACAGCCAAGCCGAACCCAGAGTATCGTAGGTGTGAACGAGAATATAATCTGTGGAGTATTGTACGTACTTTTGTACAAAGGCATATACTTATACAGCCTTCATGTTGGTAAAAAAAAAGTATTTGAATGGAAAGTAAGACAAAAGATGATTTTTGAGGTTCTGTGTTTCACCTCGCATACAAAGAAAAGAACTAAAATAACTTACAACTCTTTGCTGGTTATAAAATGACACTATCTGAAACATAACACACATTCTCTAGGCTTTACATGGCTCTAGGTCATCGTTAAATTACAGAATCAAAAAATGCTAAACTTGCCCGCCTCTTGAATCTTATATTTGACCCCGTATTCCACAATTACCTCTTGTTTGCAAATAGATATTCGACTTTTTGTCAATCTCTATACACTTCAAGTACCAACAAAAATAATAACTAGATAGCCCGTTAATCTCAATCCAATATTGAAACAAGCAGAACAACACGATGAAACTAGTTTATAAAACTAATTAGTATAATTAAGAAGTTTATGTGTATCTAATTAACGGCTTCATTAACACTCCGGTGGCTACTGTTCAATGTTACTTGTCATTATCTGTGACAGATGTTAGGGTTCCGGTTGAGCAAGCATGTGACCTCTTTTATGGGATACTTTCGAGATATAATAACTTAACTACCTAACTAAATTATAACATTATACGTCAACTGTTACCTGTGTCGCGGAGAACCTAACGGGTTACCGGGGCACCGGCTCGACATGCAGGAGAAGGAACGGGGTGGTTTTTAGTCAGTAAGAGTCTGATACTCCCTCCCGCCTTACCCAGGCGGGAGCAGACATTCGATGATTTACCCCCTTAAAAAAATACGTTAACTGTAATCAATGACTTAACTGTCAAAAACTGATCAATTTGATACTAAGATATTTTCATTGGGCAAACAGTATCTCAAATATGTTTGGCGCCATCTCAGAAATAGCTACAGTAATAAAGTGAATCTTTACTTCGTTTTTCTAAGTGATCTTATTTCCAAAAATATGCAATCAATATTTTTGTTTGACAATAGCAATTTCTCTATATTGTAACAAACCTTAGTTCCTAACACATTTAATGTTATATGTAAGTAATGATGATATGTATCAGAGACTATTGTAGAACATACTTTTTTAAAAAGAGTAACATTTGGAGTTTCTTGCTCGTTCTTCTCCATTCGAATCTACATTTTGGAATGAGCACCTAGCTTCACCTAGTTTCACTGACGGACTGACTGACAGACTATTATTTATTTTGTATTTGTTGACGTTTCAAAAGTACCAAACTATGGTTTAATTGAAATAAATGCTTTGACTTTGACTTTAACAATCTAGAGTCGATCGTCCTCATTCTGACTGATTTAGTGACAATATTTGGCTAGAGTCGTAGTCGTTCCATCGTCCCTGCCATTGAAGACAGGCGTAAGTTTATGCATGTATGTATGTTTGGTAGCAGACCACATCTCTTTGCATAGGACATTTTAACATAAAAAAGGATACAGCCAAACTTTTTAACCATTTTTTTTAATTATCACATCTCGAGGCTACATAAAAAGTCCCTACATTACATTAAACTTCACTTTATCACATCATAAAATATTAACGTGTTTTGATGTTTCGTAGCAACACTGTTGTGCGCATAAAGTGTTGATTAAATGTCTTGTCTTCAATCAATACCCACACCTAGCGGTGTTTTCCTACATAAATATAAGTTATTGCAAATTGTTCTAGGTGTTTTATTACGTTTACCTATTCCATTTTCTCTAATTAAGATGGCCGGTATATACAATGCATTAGGGTAACTTAGTCTATCTTTACATTGCCTTTAGCCAAACGCCACTTTAGCGCTAGTCTACAGAGAGAGTAGAAAACTAAATGTATGGGGATTATATTGACAAGTGTCAAAATTTACGTCAATTCCATATAGTTTGGTTTTCTATTCTACATGTAGACAAGCGCTAAATAGCATTTGGCTACAGCTGCAGGTCTCATTGTTAACCTTATTATAATGTCATAATGTTCAAAATTATCAAGCCTACGTCCTTTTTATTGTTCATTCCGATACAATGTCTCCTTCTTTAATATGTAATATCCTACCAAACGTTATCCTATCTCTTTTCTCTTTCATTTTTTTTATCATTCTTCTCATCATAAAATCTATTCATCTTTTCTTTTGTCATCCTCTAGATTTCCATTGTTTTTCATTTAAAGTTCACGTATGTACAATGTTGACTTTGTTGACTGTATTGTGTATACGTTGACAACCTTTTGTTATTAATTTAGGCATGTTTAAATGTATGTTTTTAATAAAATATGCAAACAAATATATAATTGTAACGCGTGGATGCAATTTTAATACTTGTCAGTGATTTTTCCTTATTTTTGTTACAAACAAAGAAATATCTTGTAAACATTAAAGTTTACTTTTTACCTGGTCACAAGGAAGAATGAGGTTTCATTTTGTATTGTTGACTACCACAGCTATTTTATTTCAATACAGATTATGTACATAACCACAGACATACATTTCAAATCCATGTCTTTGTCAACACGAGAGGTTGAATTGAAAGTTAATCGCCACCTAGCATGATATTTAAACTTTTTAAACAAAGTCGCTATCCGCCGTCTGTGTGTCCATATGTATGCTTGCTAGATCTTTAAAACGATTTTAATGCAGTTTTTTTTAATAGATAGAGTGATTCTTAAGGAAGGTTTTGCATTTTGCACCCGTGCGAAGCCGAAGCGAGTCGCTAGTTGTCAATAAATAATAGCGTTATGTTAGAATCGTGTCCCACGATCATTAGACTAACTTAACTTGAAACAAAGTCACTTGAACTTTATTTGGAAGTGCAAAGTGATAACCGACAACGATAACAGTGGTCTAAGGTACCTTTAATTTAAATTAAACTTAAGTCAAGAGCGTATTCCTTTTTAAAAGGCTGGCTACGCACCTGTGACTCCTCTTGTGTTACGAGTGTCCATAGCCCGCGTTGATCGCTTACCATCATGTCATCATGCCGTTAGCTCGTTTGCCTCATCCTCCATAAAAAAAGTCAAGAGTAGACTCACTCGAGTAGATAGGTATTAGATTGTTGCCTGCTATAATAAATAAATTAGGTATATACTTCGTGATGAAACTGCCGTTGAATCTTTGATATACGTAATGTTCTATCATCTGCCTGTTGATTCGCCTTCGTGACCAGGACGTAAAGTAGCCAAATATTCAGATCCGTTCAGTAATATTTGCGTGGAAGAGCAACAAGCGTATGACACATCATAAGGCCCCCTTTTATATATCTTCCTTCCTTTATGTGGAAGACACATGCTTTTTCGCGAATAGGCTCCATTCCAGAGACTCGAATGTTATCCTACTTCCTATTAATATTATAAATGCGAAAGTTTATGAGTATGTAAGTATGTGTGTGTGTGTGTGTGTGTGTGTGTGTGGGTGTTTGTGTGTTTGTTACTCTTTCATGTCAAAATGGCTGAAGATATCAAATTTGAATTTTGAACAGGGATAGATACAGTAGCCTATTAGACTACTTTTACTCCACGGGGACGCGGGCAAAACCGATGGCAGAAAGTAGTCTCTCATAATAAAACTACTTATAGAAAAACAAATCTTAAAATAATAGTAACAAAATTCACAATTCTGTTTCGTTTTACAGGAGGGCTCAATCGGTCACGATTTGGTCATTCGTCCCATCCCCGACTCAATGACGGCGGCCGCGCAGGACGATGAGATGTTCATGGATCCTTCCAGCATGGCTGATATGGTATCTATTGATACTGGACTGCCTTTAGGTAAGATCCTTTTGTATATACTTATTATAGTCTGCCTCGTTAGCCGAGTGGTCGCAAGTGCGACTGCCGGGCAAGGGGTCTCGGGTTCGATTCCCGAGGCGGGCAAAGTCTTGTGAGTCAAAGAATTGTGCCCGGTATATGGCAATAGGCTCTCCCCCTATTACATGGGACTCATAACAGTGAAGAGTGGGTGTTACATTGTACAGTGGCATTAAGTGCCGTAATGTGCACCTCTGGCTACCTTCGGGGATAAAAGGCGTGATGTTATGTTATGTCTTTATTATATAACATCTTATAAAGTGGCCAGTGCCCATATTATAATATGCTGACATATTTTCCTAACGTTAACGTGTTTATAATGTGTAGAAAAGTATATTTACCTAAAATTCCTATTGAAAATGTTGATAGGTAAGTTATATCGAGTAAGAAAATTAGACTGTATCTTCTTTTCCCCACGAACTCATTAGAAATGAGTATAATATAACAATTAAAACATAAAATCATTCCTTTTATAAAGAGGTACAGTCTTGATGGAAAAGTCATAACATTTTTAGCTTTATTTCATAAAACATGTTTACAGTAAAAAGAAAAAGAGAAGATCAACAAAGGTTGACACAGGCGCTTAATGGCGCCCAACATGTGATCATCAAGAGAGACCCCGCAGACGCAGAACACGATCACTTAGGAGATTACGGTAAGTTATCTACACCACACTATAAAATAAGTAAACATATAACGCTAAATAATAACTAAAAACGTATATTCTAAAATAATCGCCAAAATTATCTCCGAAAAACAAATTAATCGACTAAAACTTGATACAATCGACTAGCTTTCACATAAATATTCATCATTATGCAAAGACAAGAAGTGTTTACTTTTGCGTTTATACTAAAAATACAACATAAATCACAAATAGGTCTTACATTGTCTTGACATGTGGAACACGCGCTTCTATGCCCGTAAACATGTTTACTCTTCATAAAATTATTTATCTAATAAATCATCACAACCATAATAAATCAGAAAACAGTAGCGACATCTACAACCAATATTACCCCATTATTATTTATCTATGTACACGTGCATCTTCGTAGAGATGTCACGTGCATTGCACATCCATCGATTACACATACTTTATAATCGAGATAATCGACTTATGTTAATAGTACCGGTTTAGAATGCCACATCGTATCTATGTTTCTTGAATGATTATGCTCATATGCCGTATCAATTAAAGTGATATAAAAATCATGAACTATTTCGGAAAATGATTATATTTCCATACATAAGGCTTTATTAATATCTAATTACAATATTAGAATAAGTATATGTAGATTGGTAAATAATACGGTTTTTATTAGATTCAAATGTTGATGACATTTGATAAAAGTTCAAGTTGCTACAACAAAGTCTAACTATCGATCAGTCAGGAAACCTTCACACTCACCTACTTTTAATGAATTAGCCAACATAATAATTACATAACAACAACATTTTATAAGGTTATACCAACATTAGAATTTGATAACTTGATCGATAAAATTATAGAGTAGTGCATACAATCCGATTATATGTTTAGTCGATTAGGTCAGAGTTCAATTCAAATTCTTTGTGGCGCTAATTTTTATTAAATTAACAAAACATTTTTTTAAATTACATACATATTACATCTATTAATGAATGAATGAATGAATGACGCGTAGTTCGTGCCGTCTATGACGTAAAATGAGACGCCATGATGCATTTCTCAATGTCAAGTATAATCTCTATGAACAAGTTTAAACTTTTTGCAAGAAACCGCAAATGAATACCTATGTAATAAAAAGATACGTTTCGTAAACATTCAATGAAATAGTTACCTGCCTCCCTATCCGCATTTTTCTTTAATTAAGATGTATTTCACTTGGAAATTTCTAGAACGAATTCTGGAAATATTCATTGATACAGCAATTTACTTCTCATAAATACGTAAAATATTTATTGATTATTAATGACGACATTTTTGTCATCACTATATTTAAATCATGAGTTTTACAATAGAATAATTATACTATTTTTATTGATTGTTGTAAACCATTAAAATATTATAAGGTACGTATATTGTTAATTTGTACTGTTATTCTTCCGCCTTATTAGTTTCCAATCACAGTGACAAATTAATTTTAATATCCATACGTATGTACTAATACATCAATCAAAACATGTGTATATAATGGTTTTTGATGATTTGTGACAAATAAATCAAATGATTCACCAATAAACATGACGAATTGACATTTCAAATTATTTTAGTCTATGGTGTAAAGTGTAACCTACAGCTAATTTTAACACTCATTGTTATTCGATATTTTAGTCGAGTTGTAATCGATTCAAAATTGGTTTAGTTTTATTGCAATTCTATAACCGGTCATTGCTCTATCTTGGATGTTATCAAACTTAAAAGTTGTTTATGTATTTGGGCAAGTTTATGCTATTTTTCTAAGATCTAGGCAAAACACGTTACACATAGGATAGCAATCATTTAACTTATTATCCTAAGGAATTATAAAAGTCTAAGATATCGAATTAAATCTCTATCTAATAATAAAACAACTGCAATCAACAACATTTAGTTATTTAATTTTGCAAATCTCTAAGCAAATACTTAAATTATATAAATTGACCAACAATATACAGTTAGATCAATTAACATTTTAATGTCTTTTGGATTTTATCGTAATATTAAGCCGCAAAATTATCATATTTTGACCATTTATTCGTATCTAATAATTTGTAGTCGCAAGTGTCAACGCTAAAATCTTGGATCTTCTAATTGGCATATAATTAAGTACAAACATAAGTAGGTACCTATACAGCAGACTATATAACGTTTGACAGTTGTTTCGTAAAAATATCAAACAAATTATGGGTACTGTCAAATTCTATTTTTATTCCCCAGAGTTGTCTTAAACAAAAAACTTTATCAAATTCGGATGCTTACAAATTAAATCGTACAGATTGCTAAAATAAAATAGATATTAAATATGATATAGATATATCCTTTTGCTGGTTCCTAACCAACATGAGATTCACTTTTTTATGACATGAGAATAGGCAGAACGTATAAAGCGCCCTCTAGCCGAGCAGCAACTATCCTTGTAGACTTTTATAATATTCACGCATCTGTACACACAAACACAAGAACGCCGGTTAACAGTAGGTCCTTACATTGTTTTTAATTTATGATTATGTTTTATAGCTGTAGTGTATTCCTCATGGTTTATTACTATGGGATGAAACAGCCGTTTGTCTAAACTTCATCCAATCCAAGATGGACTTCGAAACTGGTTTCATACAAAATGTCACCTCTATAAACTTGAATCAAGCGTATCTGTATTTATAAATACTTAGGTATCAACTATTAATTAATAATTATTATTAGCTTGAAAGCTTGATAGGTTTTATTTATATTCAAGTTACGGGCCTCTGGCGTAGGAACTTAGGTAGACAAATCTTAACTAGAAGGTAAAAGATATTTATATAAAATTGCCAGTTTTTTATTTCAGTAAACTATGAACTATCATCAAAGATCAATGTCATCGTGATTATTGTCTTGCATTTCCCAACAATCAATGAGTTGGCAACAATTTTAATTGTCAGTGGGTTCAAAGAGCGTTAATGATTTGAGTTTTCCACGAAGCTATGAGCTAGTTCTTTGTAGGTAGGTCTCTCGGCTCTCCATCTCAACCTAGATATAGATAGAAACCAATCAAATGTCATGTAACGATCGAAATACGACCAAGACAAAACAGTTAATTAAACAACAGTGACAATAGCAGCATCGTTCATTCGTTCATCAATACTAATTTTAGCTAAACATTTTGCATAGCTACGTAAAAACAAAATTGTACGGATTAATATTTATAATGTCTTATAAAAGCGTTCGTATAATGTCAAGTTATCGTAGATTTCCGAGTAAATCTCGTTTTGCTATTATGAACGTTATTCCGTCTTTGACGGGGTCATAAGGTCAGACTCTAACGTCACCCATTATTTTAAATTTACGATAGAAAAAAAAAGCTCAGCAATAATTCGGCGGTTCATGAATAATCCAATATTTGGGAAAACCGAACGCGACAGCCTACTGTAGGAATATATTTAGGTCCATTTTTATGATATAAGGAGAGGTTAACGTACCCATCATTAGGTATTTTCGTCCATTGTAATTTAATTATAGGTTCTCTTTAAATTCCCGTTATGAACATCGTAGATGCAAAAGAAGCATTATTATCTAGTACTTGTTATTGCTTTTTGTTTAAAATATTTTAATTAAAAGGAAAAAACTCTGTCTGGTTTATAAATAAAATTTCTCGAGGCAAAGTACCATCATTTGTCATTTCACACATGCACGTTTGAACTTGTTCGTGACCACAAATATTGTCTCGATTGAACTTTAATTTTTATCGATTATGCGCACAAAAATCGACTAAACTAATTAGTTGCCTCTGACCTTCGACATTTTTTCTTATTTTGGAATGTTTGTTGATGACTCTATGGTTCGACTCTTCAGTTTTTAAATTGAGAACAAAGTAATGTAGGTAATTTAGGTATTTTACCAGTCCTATCAAAACACATTTTTTTAAAATTATTATTTATATGTAAAGTAATGCAAAAAATAGGTGCACAGCTGTGATTATTTCTTGATGCCCGATAGTTGACGCTGTAAAACAGCTTTGTCATTATAATTATTTCTCGGTAATAGGGTACCTACCTATCTAATGATATTTGATCATAGTACTTAGGTACATACCTGAAGATAATTACTTAAATCGATATCTAGTCAACGATGTCCATTGTAGTTACTGTGCACGTATCAATTAGTACACTTGGACAACGGAAAATAGTCCTTAATACTATCGGAATAAAGTCGTCACAAATCTATTTAAAATAGGTATGCAGGTATTAGGTAGAGTACACTTGTGCAACAGAAAATAGTCCTTATTGTTATAGGAATAAAGTCGTCACATAAGTGTGTTCGATATGTTCCATTACACTTTTTTGAAATATGATATAGATAAGAATAAAAATTTAGCACTAAATTAGTTTTGGAACTATCTAATGAGACAAAACCTATTATTTTATTTAGGTACTGAGCATAGAATGGTACATATTAGTACCTAGTAGGTAGATAATCTGTTTGCCTAAATTATTTCGCTCCATTTAGATCCAAACTAAAAATAAATCCTATATGCCTCATCCGTCCTAATTTATTAGTCATCCTTCAATGTTCACCTAAAATAGTTATCAGTAGGTATCTATTCAAATTGTTATCATTTAAATTTAAAATTAAACGTGATTCTAGAATAATGAAAAGGTATCGAAATCTATCTACCAAAATTAATAAATAACATTTGCATTTTTAATTGAATCTCACATTCTAGAATAATAAAAAGGTATACCTAGCTGTATCGAAATCTATGTAAGTACTAAAATTTACATAGGAAATTTCTAACGACCAGAAGGTATACAAAAACCAAAATTTCTAATTTATCTAATTCTTTCTTCAAACTCAAAATCTAATCAAATCATAATTATGTAGATATATTATTATCGTAATGCTAAATGCCATTAAAAACTCTTAGCGCCATCTACTGTTCAATTTTGAAAAGAAACTAAATTGGTTTTTCCACTCCCTAAGAGATGGCACTACGCATACTTTCATATTTAGAAGATACCCAATTTTCTTATAATTTTCTTTTATTTTTCAGCATTCATGGAACCAGATCATTTGGGAAAGCGATTCAGAAGGAAACGCTCAACTGAGTCTCATTCCAGACGGAAAAGAGAAGCACCCTACGTGATTTATCCTGAAATTCTGGTCATCGTTGATTATGACGGCTATAGGTAAGAGTTTAAAGGGCCCAGCTTTTATATCCTGAAATTATCTGGCATTCAAACTTAGGAAAAAATCAACAACCAACGAGTTTAATGCACAAAAGTGGTCGCAAGTACCTACCTATCATTGTCTAACAAGATGTTTCGGAATCGATTCCCGAATATTTGTGACAATGAGGCGTTTTTGACTTGTCTATTTCTTACTGTGTGGCAAAAGACCACCTCTTAATTACGTGAGATTTTTAACATAGTCAAAACTGGGTGTTAAGTACTGCATTACACAGTACCTATAAATACAACTCAGCCTATCCCATAGACAAAATAAAGTTTTTATATTTTTATAATCACTACATAGCTAGTATAAAACAAAGGCGCTATCCGCTCCGCCATCTGTCTGTCCCTATGTATGCTTAGATCTTTAAAATTACGCAACGGACGATTCTTAAGGAAGGTTTATATGTACAATACATGCATATTGTACCCGTGCGAAGCCGGGGCAGGTCGCTGAAATAATATTTCCGTGGCCTATCCACATTAGCATTAAATCTTATGTTATTGTAGGTTTATACTTACCTATGTGCTAAAACTTCTATTCAATGAACTCCAGGTTACATGGTGGCGACAACGTCCAGATAAAACGTTACTTCGTATCGTTTTGGAACGGCGTGGACCTCCGATACAAACTGCTGAAAGGACCCAGAATACGGATATCCATCGCCGGTATCATTATTTCTAGGGTAAGTTTCACTTAAACTCTATTACAAAGGTGATAAGAATCATTTTTCTCTAAACTAAAAGATATTTAAAATGTGCCAAGTGAAATTATGCTCTATTACAAGTTGATACAATTGTTTTTCTTTTGACAAATATTTTTTGTAGACTTAGGTAATGAAGCACTTATCATTAGTATTATTTTACTTATTTTTTACAAAATAATTGTACACATTTTTAATTTAATATTATTCAATAAGGTGAAATATTTCTATGCCACAATAACAATTAAAGGTTTAAGAATTTGCCATCAACTTGAAATCAACCATTTCATCAGTTTCTATACAGAGTTCTTCCAGTAAATTCTTTTTAGATTTAGGATAGCCCTCTAGCACTGCATTTAGCATGTCACTGCAAATTCTTTTGCGTTTTCTGAAGAAGAAAAACAAAATATAAATAAAAAGATAATTGTCAAAATTAGATAATATTTTATAAAATTAACCATAGTTCAATCATCCCCTTATTTCACATCACTAAAAAGAATGTTTTTAAATATTTGGTTACATACCTATATTCTTTCAACATTTTTTCATGTTCACCAAGTATTTTTTTCTTATCTTCAACACTTATAACCTCTGTGGAGGTTTTCAATATTTCCAACTTTTTCTCTATGGCCTCTGTCCTATTTTTAATTTCATCTATTTGTGTTTTTGCTGCTGTGGTAGTTGGTGTTGAGACTAAGTTTTTGAGATTAATCTCAATTGCTTTTAACGTATTTGTTTTATCAGATAAATCTTGAGTCAGGGACTTGAATAGCGCATCATAGTCTGTAACAATAAGTATAAATGTTTAGAGTTTAGTATGTAGTTTAAAACTATTTATTTCTGATTTATTAATGAAATTACGGAACCAACCTGTTACGTCTTCATCCTCTTTTACACTATCAGTTTGTATAGCAGCATAAACTTTTTGCTTGCCATACAATTTGCATTTTATCTTTCCCGCTTCACTCAAAGCATCTAACGCTTTCTGAATCGCCGTCTTCCCGAACGCTCCACGCAAATTAACTGTTACATCTGCACACGAATATGGACGATTTGTATCCACTAAATACTTCAACACTGCTTCACTCGCCATTTCAAAGTAATAAAATAGAATAAAAACTCAAGCTTCAGTTTTTAAAATCCCGCCATTGTAATTTTCTTTTATTTTTGACAGTTGTTATCCGATAGTGATGTGCGTAATATCGATTTAGTAACATAATAAGTCGATTAACATGTCAAGATTTTCATCTTCTGAGTAATGACATAATGTATTAAGCTAAAATAAAAACATTAATTTCGAAATATTTCGAGATGCAAACATAGTAATTCTGGTTTTGAATCAATACAGTGCCGAGGGTTCGTTTTGTATTAAACACTAAAATTGTTATATAACCAGTCGCTATGTAAAATCTCAATGTACTGACGCCATTGCTTTACGAAAAATAAATAATTTTATATGTATAGATTTAAAATAGTTTTCATTAAATTGGTAAACTAAAACTGGAATTTAAACAAATCCACGTAATAACCACGGCTGCACAATGAACTGTTCCTACTTCGGGCACGATTTCAGTCTATTACTGAGAAATAGTTTTTAAAGGTCAATAAACGAATCAGGCATTCCATTAGCATAGCAACATAAATATATCTGCTACATTCAATGTTATGGGAGAAATGTGAACATTTTAAGCCTTTGAAACCTGAACTGAGCTTAAGTCACAAACATAGAATTAATTTGAATAAATTAAAAACACCTGCAATATTAATGAGATGAATGGTGGTTATTTAATTGTTATGGTATAAAATCGATAAAAACATGTGAATTTATAATACCTCATGAACGATAACAAAAACAGCAATAGCGCTCGAAACATGTTTTGTTACCAACTTGTGAAATTACTAAAAAAACTGATTATTCAAGGTGAGGAAAAGTTACTTGGACACAACGTTTTTGAACTTTAGACCTTTAACCACTGTGACCAGTGACTAATAAGTCTCCTTGGATATTATGTCATGAACTATGGTGCATAGTCTATATCGTCGCCAATATTTCCACGGAACGTTCTATAAATACCTACTTAATCCAAATGTTTTACTCAATTTTTACTCCAACGTATGAAACAGTTAATATTCTGAATTCCAGGGTCGAGATGCTACACCATACCTTGAAAGAAATCGTGTTGGGCGCGATGCGATTGACTCAGCAGCGGCGCTTACTGACATGGGCAAGTATTTGTTCAGAGAGCGACGCTTGCCCGTGTACGATATTGCCGTTGCAATCACCAAGTGAGTTTATTTTTTTTTAGATGTACGATTATATTTTTAGTAATTTACATTACAAGAAAACATGGTTATTTTATAAGATAACGTCTATTCCACGTGCTAGGCTAAAAAAATATTGCAATGTAATTTTATATTATTTTATTATTATAAATGACAATCGTCAGCTGACCTCAACAATATATTAATTTCATCTTCATATTGCGCGGATTATGTAATCGGTAAGATGTTTACAAAACATTTTATTCAAATACATTTTGATGCAATACTGAATGGCAATTTATACGATACTGAACATTACTGTTTTGTAATAACGAGAATACAAGCCGACAAATTTTGAAATGACGGAGCTTATTTATGTTAAAAATATCTCAACTTATTGAAAATATTATGTATTTGAGATTTTGCCATTATATTTTAGAACTTATGATCTATGTACACTCAACAGCATTTTATAAATATTGTTTTATTGTCCATTCGACAATCAGGAGCAAAGGTAAGTTGGTAAGTATTTCAATGCTTTTAAATCTTAATTTAGCGCCATTATTCAAAGTAATTACTGTAAAAAATTCGGTCTGTAGCTCTTAAGACAAGTTAAGGTGAAGGTCAAGAAATTATTATGAAGACAAGGAAACTAATTTGACCAACAGGTATGACATGTGCCGACGTCGCAAGGGTGGTCGCTGTACAAAAGGCACCGCTGGTAAATTAAATTTTAAAACAAACGTTCATTAGGATGGTGTTGTCAATCGGCGCGGCATTAACCGGCTTGAGAGTGAAACATTAATTATTTGCTTCATTATTCTTATTTATGAGGTAAAGGATTTGGTAATGGCGCTGAATATTAAAAAAAGAACACTATACAATAGCCGCTTGCACAAGATGACGTTGTTTCGTGAAGATATTTCGTTTTATTTCATTTCTTACGTGAAATGAGGTGAACAAACAATAGCACGACGATTTGTCGCAGATTTTTCTCAGAAACCAGAGAAATATAGAATCTTATTGAGTTTTATTCTTTCCATACAATTTCAGACTAGACATGTGCAGAAGACAATATCCCAACGATGCGTGCAATAGAGGGACAGCAGGTAGGCGTGTTAGAAATCTTACATTTTCCAAAAGCACGCCTTTTTCATCAAAGTCCCTCACCTATTTGTTCATAATTTTACACTTTGGATCCCCACTTGAATATACCTTTACCCAACTCCGTGATTCATATTCGCACCTTGTGAATAATATTCTGTCTTTTCTGCAGTGACTTCTTCTAGTTACACTGTAAATCTTTGTGAATGCATCATTTTAGATATTTAGATGTTGTTGTAAATATTAATCTTCTTCCATTGTATGTAGTTGGTCATAAAAAATATTTTGTATTTTATTATGTCTTCGTTGTCTCTATTTACTTATTCAAAATATTTTATTTCAATTGACTAAATATCTAAGCGTTTATTTTCATTCTCATGTATTGTTTTTAGATACTATCTGACTTCATCGTCATTTAAAATGACTCAAGAGTACGTAAATAACAAAGTTATAATAATTTAGGCATGAATTTGCTTTCTTAAATATAATAATTAATAGCATGATATTTTTGTGTAGTTTTGTTTTCAGTTCGATTATTTATAGCATATTTTTAAGAAATAGATAATCAGGAGGCCCACCTATGAAAAAATCGACTTAGTAATATAATCGACTAACTAATTTTGGTTGAACAAAAAAGTCACATCACTAAATGTCATGTGACTTGTTGACATGATACTGAAAGCGCGGGAAATTTCGATTTTATTTTATCTATTTCTGTGTTATTAATTGTGCTTTTCGCTTTAAATTAATACTAGATACTTAGGTATAACATTAATACGTAATAATATCTAAAATGGACATTAACTGATAAAATAATTAGGTATATGCAATTATTTAATTTTTTCCTAATCTTAATTGCATGCTATGGGTAAAATGTTAACTAACCGCAAATATAAATAAAATGGTGGTGCAACATAATGCTTTTGCGTGGATTTAATATGTTTGCAATGCATGTTTTGTGTATCCTATCTCCTCAACACTTCACTGTGAGTATATTAATCATATTTAAGTATTTTTTGTGTCCACGTATTTTTTTCACGCATCCTTCATCGAACTGTAAGTAGCCTTAGCCTATAAATATTTATTACCTTTTTACCTCAATGTCCTAAGTCCTTACATGTCACGCATTCATTTTAAAATCTCAATTCACAATTCTTGTACCCACCTATTCATTTTTATTTTGATACCTGTAATAGGTACCTATCCTCTGAAATTTATTGTTCTATTTTTTTTACAAATATTGACACATTCAGCCAAGTTAAGAATGAAGTATTTTTGGATGTGTCTTATACTTGATGATAATAATAATTAGGAAATAATTGTCAGACAAAATTCCTTCTCAATAATATTTCACATCTTTAACTGTTTCCAACTTGAATAATTATTTAAAGTTTCAATACTTACACGAATGTATGAAATAAAAGGTTTCGCGTACGTCGGCGGCGCTTGCGTGGTGAACAAGAGACTTGAGAAGGTCAACTCTGTTGCGATCATTGAGGATACCGGCGGCTTCTCCGGCATCATTGTCGCTGCTCACGAAGTTGGACATTTGTAAGTATTGCATCTACTGGCCTTCATACCTAATCGAAACGTATTTTTCTTGTAATATTGTTTACTTAGATACTACAAACAGCGTACAAAAGTACCAATCAATAATAAGCTTTATATCAACTGTACCTATGTACCAATTAGATATTTTTTAATATTATAATATCACATCACTAAATATATTTACAACTTAAAATTAATTACAACTAAACCTATGATGAAAAAGAAATTAAAAAAAAATTCAAATAAAAGTTTTTAGCTATACTTACTTAATTAGATTTTTAGGCTGAATGAGGTAATTTGAGGTGCAGTTAAAGTGTTTTTAAAAAAAAAGTTTTACTGAGTCACAAATTAAACCTTTGGACTTGTTATAGTCATTCTTATGACCTTCTTTTACATACTCATAGAGATGGTACAGTCCTCTATAATATTTATTTATTTTAATATTCCACTTTACTATCTGACTTTATACTCCTTTACACAATTACCAAAAAATCCTTCATAATTTCAGACTAGGAGCAGTCCATGACGGTAGTCCCCCACCCTCATATTTAGGAGGCCCCGGAGCTGAGAAGTGTAGGTGGGAGGACGGATACATCATGTCAGACCTGAGGCACACCGAGAAAGGATTCCGGTGGTCACCCTGCAGTGTACAGAGCTTCCATCACTTTTTGAAGTGAGTATTACAATATTATAAATTGTATTTTGAAATATTTTTCTTTTTTATTTTGGTCAATCATGGCTTGTTTGACTTAACAATATTTCTTGAAGGACTTGGCAGAACTTACCAATAATGTCATGACCTTTAAAATAACACTATTAAGTATTATCTAGTAGTATATCTTCGGTAAAATCTCTGTAGTCTGTTACTTACACTTAGGAATGGGTGAAAATGTCCCCACAGTCAAACCATTGTAACGGTTTTGTGGGGCTTAAATTATAAGATACTTACCTGTGTGATTTAAGGATAAATAAATTAAAAAATTATAATAAAAAATGTGTGAAAAATTTAATATATTATTACAAAATTACACAGCTTATATGGTATGATAGTTACATCTATATAATCTATTTCAAAGTTTTCTATTCATACCAATAAATAAATATATATATGAATTTATTTATATAGTTTTGTGTCACATAAATTAAGTCATAATACCTACCTGTTACACCTACTGTTGTTTATCTCTACATCTCCCCATGGCTGACTGTTGGAGAATGCCACCATTATTTTTTTTGAGGGGGTTAAATCATCCAATGACTTCTCTTCCCCACCTGGCATTAAGTCCGCTATCGTATGTTATACAGAAGTGTAAAATAAATAAAATAAATGAATAAATTGTCCATTTACAATTTCAGTGGCGATACAGCGACCTGCCTGTACAACTCCCCCCACGAGGACGACTCACTCCCGCGCGTGCTGCCCGGACGACTACTCACCTTAGACGCTCAGTGCCGGAAGGACCGAGGCACGAGGTGAGATCTATATTAAAACATTTACTTAAATGTTTATTTTATACTGCAACTACTTTAACAACTTTATTAATGAGGTTTTTATCCTCTCTGTAAATTGTTATTTTAGTTTTATTTTTAGTTCATTTTAAGTTGTATACACCGGATGGTGAAAAATCGGCCTCGTCCATGGACATGAGCACCAGGGGCGTTACAAGTGCGTTACCGGCCTTTTGGGGATTAGGAATTTGAGGATTGTTGGGGATTCAGGGATTAGAGAGATTGGGGGGCTTCCGATAACTTCACTTACGTGACTAAACACAACGCAAGCGTTGTTTCACGTCGGTTTTCTGTGAAGCCGTGGTATCACTCTTACTTATGTAGGCTCATAGTCTAAGTGGACTGTCACAATCACGGGCTGTTTGTGATGATGACATAACGCCTACTTAATTACGGTAATTAAACATAATATAACATTTATCCCCGCCTTTTATCCCCGAAGGGGCAGGCAGAGGTGCACATTATGCCATTGTACAATGTAACACCCACTTTTCACTATTTATGTTATGAGTCCCATGTAATAGGGGGTGAGCCTATTGGTATATACCGGGCACAATTCCAGACTCCGTGCTATTATTGAGATTTTTTTAAAAACCCAACGGGAATCGAATCCGAGACCCCTAGCCCGGCAGTTGTCCTTGCGACCACTCGGCCAACGAGGTAGTCGGTAACGGTAATTAAGTTTAAATTAAACTCAAACCGCAACCTATTGTTCTTTAACTGTGTCTATAATGACGGTACTCAACGAGTTAATATGAATTGTTATGTTGCAGCGCATGTTTCAAGGACGAGCGAGTGTGTGCGCAACTGTTTTGTTTCGACGCGGCCAGCGGGTACTGCGTCGCTTACAGACCCGCCGCTGAAGGATCGCCTTGTGGTGATGGACAGGTACAAACAATTATTTGTATATTTTCATACATAATATCACGCCTTTTATCCCCAAAGGGGTAGGCAGTGGTGTACATTACGGCACTTAATGCCACTGTAAAATGTAACACCCACTTTTCACTATTTATGTTATGAGTCCCATGTAATAGGGGGTGAGCCTATTGCCATATACCGTGCACAATTCTAGACTCCGTGCTACTACTGAAAAAGCCCAGTAATATTTTGCCCGACCCGGGAATCGAACATGAGACCCTTTGCCCGGCAGTCGCAATTGCGACCACTCGGCCAAACGAGGCAAAGAGAGGAAAAGAGGCAATTTTCATACATATTTGTATATATTATCGTCACGCCTGTGTCTCATTTGGGTAGCTAAAGACGAGATAGAATGCCAAACGATATGATTCTAGCCTTCTCTCTTTGTTTCATCTGCCTACATGTGTATTCCAAGGACGCAAAAATGTGTAATATTGTTTATATGAATTGCAAGTTCTATAGTTGTATGAAATAAAGGTCTCATCTATATTTCGAGTACAGGACCTACCAATGACAACGCCCAAGAAGTATTATCTAAATAAATATTTTCTTCTATCCTCATTCTCTCTTGGGTTAACTAAAGGCATATCAAATGCTTATGGGACGACGTGCTCCATCGTAGACCGCATTATCGCTTATCACCAGGCGATATAGTGATTAAACGTCGCCCCATCAAATATATGTATAAAAAAACATATATTTACTTTGTTTCAATGTTAAAACAATGTATGTATGTTTCAGTATTGTATAAACGGTCGGTGTATAACCGAACACGAGAACATAATCCCCGACTACTCGCAACACACGCCGAGCTACGTGCGGCCGGAGACGAGCCCCTTCTATGGAAATATCACCAGGTGCGTATCATATTTAATGTTACAGGCGTGATAGTTGCTATTCTGAACTGGATAGTTGTTGCTCTGAGTGTGATAGTTGTTATTCTGAACGGGATAGTTGATTCTCTATAAGACAGTGATAATTGCTATTCTGAAATGAATAACTGTTGCTGTGTATGAAACTATGAAAGTTGCTATTTTAAATGGGATAGTTACTGCTTAGAATGTGATAGTTGATATTATGAATGAGATAGTTGCTATTCGAGATAGTTGTTTCTCAGAGTATGATAGTTGCCACTCTGAACGGGATAGTTGCTATTTTGAACGAGATTATTGTTTCTGTAAATGTGATACCTAGTTGCATTCCTGAACGGGTTAGTTGCTATCTTGTACGAAATAGTAGCTATGATGTATGTAAGAGTTGATATTATTGTAAATGGCATAGTTAGTTACTGTGATATTAGATTTTCACTATTATTTTATTAACTTGTGTTTGTTAAGACTAAGACTTATTATACCTAAGTGAAGTTAAATATAAGATTGTAATGAATATAAAAATGTTTATAAAACCATACAGCAAAGCACAAACCGACTGAATATAGTCACAATACTGGCACAGCCAATGAGAAAGCAACACATTCTCATTGCACCCAGTATGTGTACATACGGGAGCACACATGACTAATACTGTATTTCTTTAACACGTAGTAACGATGGAACGACACAGCCGTACGTAGCTAGTACCTCGGCGCCAACAGCACAAACCACAAAATATAAGAGCACAGAATACACTACAACTAGTACTACAACGACCACCACAACCACAGAGAAACCATACTTCCAGTTCACGACAAGGAAACCATTCCAGTTCTTTACCACTAGAACAACGAGTTCAACACCAACAAGTATCACATACCCAGTAAACAAATACTCGATCACATCAACAAAAAGTCCCTACGACTTCAAGGACTTCACAACTCGACCTACAACAACCACTTCGACCACAGAGAAAAGAGGTTTCTACAAAAAGGAGGACTTTGACGGCTTTTTCAGACGGTCCACGACAAAAAGTCCGTATCAAGATAAAAGTATAAAGTCCGTTTTCAAATTCGGCACTTATTATTCGCAAGCCAAGTCCAGTGATAACTCTATAAGGCCTGATGCTAATTCGCAGCAAGTTCAAATCGAACCGGCGAGGTTAACGTACTCGTTTCGAAGGAATATGACCACGGGAGAACTAGTTCGACATTAAGTTGCCAATATTTGGTAAGAATGGACGATGGAATCATTCTATCTTGCATCGATATCGTACTTACTTCATGCCATGCCCGTCTTGTGAATATTGTCATGGATTTCTGTATTCATTTTCACTATTGGTTTTAGTGTGATTTCTGTTTTTCTAAGTCTTTCATAATTATTAGATCTGTAGTTAGACTGTGTGATCTGACCCTATATAACCAATGGTACATTTTCAATCTTTATTAATTTTAATTCAGAATCAACTCAGCTCATAATTATATCTGGGCTTAAGACTATTTCAGACCATCGACAAACAAATAGTAAATTTTTTCTATCATATTAGCTATTCTGCAAATTTTTTTAATGTAATTTAAACTGTCAAACACCAAGCGGACACCGGTGACCGCAACCTATTGTTCTATAATTGTGTCTACAAAGACGGTACTCGACGACTTAAGTACCTGCCAATTACATTTCCGTTTTGGTGAACACTGTATACCATCCATACATGGGCCATATATTTCTAATAAAACGACTGAAAGTGAATATCCTGAAACATAATACCAACTGAAGTCATCATTACTTCTGTACAAAATTAAATACTTCTACATTACATTGACTATCTTCCACAACTTCAAACATGGAGACATCACATTTACATTGTACATACTATGATACTATAACTACTCTATATTTCTAAGATTTTGTGCATACTCTATATAATATACCTAAATACTGTTATATAAATGTGTGTATTATAATATAAACATGTTCGTTCTTCTTTATATACCTGGTACCAAAAAAATGGAGCTACAGGCGAATATTAATTTATTTTTATTTGAAAAATATTTGCTTATACATGTATTTTATTGTGTCGTATAAAAGGCAATATAGTTAACATTAAAATGAGAGCATTTTATTAAAGGAATATTTTTTTTAATTTATATATTTGATAAAATGAAAAAAGCTAGTGGCTCTGTTTCTTTACTCCCAAGTGTATTTATAATCTTTAGCATGTTTGTTTCAGTTCTTCAGTATTATATTTTTTATTGTAATTATGTAGCTCTATTGTATACAGTTTCCGATATCATTTTCTTCTTGCATTAACCTTTTGAACGCCAGTGTCGGATATAGACGACATACAAAATATACCTACATAAAAATGACTTTTTTGTCATAGTAGCGAATTAGAACACTTTTTGTTGGTCGTCTATAGCTGACAGTAGCGTTCAAAAAGTTAAAATGTGATGGTATTCGATATTTAATGAGTTATTTCTTCTAGCAGCCGCCACTAACGCTAGGAGCGGGCCGAGCCTTGAAGACTGTCTCGCTGGAACGACGCGACTCCCCAACGACCCAGTAGCGGCGCCTACAAGGGCACAGGGCAGTCCTCGTCCAGTCCCAAACACATTACAGATTGTGAACCGCACACACCCACGTCACGAACAACGACATCACCTCTACAATTCGTATAATTTTAATATCAGTGTAATACTCGAACTTAATAGGTAATTTTGGTAGTAAGTAGCTGTAATAAGAGCAAGCAGACCAAGATATTTGCTTGTTTTTATTCCGAAAACTCTTTGACACGCGGGAGTGTGCGTTTTGTGTGTGAAATAAATTGTGTCCGAAGACAATGCTTTATGAAAGTGTCGGACACAGTTCCGTGAGTGATATTACAATGTGATTGTGTTATTAATGAACTTATAAGTACACTAGAATATTAGGAACGTTAGGAGCTGCGTCCAAGTGTGCTGCGCTCGGTACGTCGGTACGTCGGTACCCACTACTTGGACAACGAGAAATACTCTTAGCTTTGAGTTTTAAAGGTTGTAAAATATCATCAATGTTACATAAATAAAAGAAACTGCCACGAAGTGCCTTTCATACAGTAATTATTAAGAAATGTTAAAATAAGATTTATTTTTTTATTTTTTGTTTTAAAACTGACTTCAAGAGCGACTGGTTCGCGGTCTTTTGAAATTAGGTTTACTCTTTATTTTAAGTAAATTTTACATTATACAAAAACTTCAATTGGTTTTTTTGTTCTTATGAAAAATTCAATTTGTTATAATTTAAGCTGTTTTTAATGTCTAAAATTATTTATGAAGAGATATTAAATCTTTAATAAAGTTACCAATAGTGTAAAAGTCTACATTGTAATTCGGTTGTATGAACATGCCTTTAGGAGAACAATTGTATTGTAACTTGGACATCACTTGCCGTTGATATACCTATTTATTGTATTCAAACTATTTATGTATAAAAGCCTTATAATCCTCCAAAACTGTCTAAATTTTAAGGAAAAAATATAGACAATAACGAATACGAAATCATGCTGTTTTATTTTTTCTTTTCGTAGGTGCCCTCTATATAAAACTCCACCCAATTACCTAATAGCACAAACATACATTTCAAACAAGACTACCTCTCCGAATTTCATTCCATAGGAATCTACGCTTTCTACACAAGCAAATGGCTTCACTAGAGGACTGACCGATAGACAGACATTTTTTTTTCTTTAAATATTTCAAACATAACATCACGCCTTTATCCTCGAAGGGGTAGGCAGAGGTGCACACAGAAGTAACACCCACATTTCACTATTTATGTTATGAGTCCCATGTAATAGGGGGTGAGCGTATTGCCATATACCGGGCACATTTCCAGACTCCGTGCTACTAATGAGACTTTTTAAATATTTCAATATTTTGTTTTGACGTTCAAAAGTGTCTTCCTGGTGTAATTGGAATAAATGATTTTGACTTTGACTTTGAAAAATTCTAGACCATTTTTGCAATTCTCTTAAATGATAACTAAGGTGAAACAAATTTAGGTTATAATGAAACAAAAACATAATTCCCAACACCTATTTATTTTGTCACCATTTATAAAAACCAGCTTCAGATTGAGCATTATAAAACAGTTATAAATTAAATTGCTAAATGCAAAACAAGTGAACACATACTATTGCGCTAAGAGGTGTGCGCACAATGCATTAGACTACAAAATATACAAAAATAGTGTCATACATAGACTTCAATGCACACCATGAAAATCAGTCGTTAGGTACACATTTATTATCAAATGAAAAAAAAATACAACATTCTTTGAACCAAAAACACGTACAGTACCCGGCAATGAATATTGCACATTGACTTTTGGAAAGGGTCAATTTTATGTAGTACCTATTACGATCATTTACATTAAAAACTTCTTTTTCAACCTTTTATTGATTGATTGAAACTCGACTATTAACGACTACGTGGCCTACTGTCTCTTTCTAAAAGTCACCGTGCAATATTTATCTCCAGGCACTGTAATAAATATAACTTATTTCATGGTTTCTCTTAAAAATAAGAACCTTTTTTCACTCAGGATGTTGACAACACTTCTAACAAACTTTTTTTAGTGAGATATGCCCGAATACTGAAATGCTACTATTTTTTTTTATCTTGAATGGCAATAGCGTCTCCTTTACAGTGTTGTCGACTATACTGCCAGTGTCGAGTGGTGACAGTAGTTTAATTAATGAAGCGTCGAACTTTAACTTTCTGGTTACCATTTTGGAGAATCGGTTGCCAAAGAAAAAAAAACTTTCTGGTAGTTGTTACATAACATAATTATCATTTTATCCCCGAAGGGATAGGCAGAGGTATATTATACCACTGTACAATGTAACACCCACTTTTCACTACTTATGTTATGAGTCCCATGTGATAGGGGGTGAGCCTATTGCCATATAGTTGTTATGGTAGTTGTTAGTAACTGGAAATTTTAAGTCGTACTTAAATATCGTGCCATCTCTGTCATTTTACAAAGAGTTTGTTGTGACAGAACTATACTTAAGCGCGACTTCAAATTGTCATTTCAGTATTCGGACATTAAGGACTAAAAAGGTTCACTCACAGAGTTTTGTTAGCCTTTCGAGGCTATAGCAGATGGAGCGCTGACATGTTTGAATACTATTTTAGCAAGCATACCGACTGACATGCAGAACACAAGACCGGCTGGCATGAACTTCCTGCTGTTGTAATACCTGCAATTAAATTTCAACTTGTTTATATTTCCTTTTGGTAATTGTGTTATTATTAATTGGTCAGTTTAAAGTACTTAGGATATAATAAAACGGAGGTAAATAATGTAAAACCTTTTTGATTTACCTTCAAGGGTATACAATAAACTGATTCTACGATTTCTTGGATAGTGTAGATACATTTTTTTTATGGCATAAGCCGGTAAACGAGCAGACGAATCACCTGATGGTAAGCAATCGGCGTCGCCCATCGACACCTGGAACACCAGAGGCGTTACAAGTGCGTCACCGGCTTTTTGGAGATTAGGAGTTTGAGGATCGTTGGGGATTCAGGGATTGGGGAGATTGGGGAAGGGGAAGGTAATTGGGCCTCCGGTAACCTCACTCACACGACGAAACACAACGCAAGCGTTGCTTCACGTCGGTTTTCTGTGAGGCCTACATAGGTGTACTATAAAAATACAGTGTGACTATGATGAGAACTAGGCTTACTATATATATATTATTACTAGCTACTTCTACGCTCTGCTTGGTGCCTATTGATCGTGGAGTGTTTTTTTAACCTTCTTCGACAAATGGGCTTATCCAACACAAAAAGAATTTTACAAATCGGACTAGTAATTCTTGAGACTAGCGCATACAAACAAACAAATTCTTCAGTTTTATATAGGGTGGAATTTTGTTATGCCACCTGATGGTGAAACTCTTAATACTTTAAGTGCTTTAAACATTGGGTCAACCATTGAATTAATAATTTAAGATTTCATTGTTTTCTTTTCATTCAATATTAGAGGGAAAGCGTACGACTGGCTAAAATCATACTTATCTGATCGGACACAGGCGGTGGAGATCTCAAGTTATAATGAGATATCCAAAACACGTGAACTATATCGTTCTTCCTTTTTGACAAATGAATACGGTGTGCCTCAAGGTAGCATTTTGGGCCCTACATTGTTTTTGCTATACATTAACGACTTTCCAAATGTCATAAACCACGAATGTGTATTATTTGCGGATGATACTACTATTGTCGTAAAATGTAAGAATAAAAGTACTTATGAGAGAGAAATAAACACCGTGCTCCAGACAACTATACAGTGGCTAGAAGGGAACAACCTAAAAGTTAATATAGATAAAACTAAATTCATTCAGTTTCATACCTACAGGAATAAACCCGCCGAATTAAATGTGATGTATAAAGGGATAGCTCTGTCAGAAGTTGAGTCAGTGAAATTTCTTGGGATTACACTGGACAAGTTCTGCTCTTGGAAGAATCAAGTGCAAGATGTTTGTGGTAAAATTAATAGTTTTGTTTATCCCTTGAGACGTATCAGCCGTGAAATATCGAGAGAGGCTGCAATGACTGCGTATCACGGATACATATCCTCCATATTGCGATATGGGGTTATTCTTTGGGGTCGATGTGTTGAGATAGAACAAGCATTTATAATGCAAAAAAAGTGTATTAGAGCGATATTCGGGTTGAAGCAAATAGATTCCTGTCGCCCGTTCTTTAGAAAATACAAAATTTTAACCTTGCCTTGCCTCTACATATTAGAGTCGTGTATATTTGTTTTTAAGCATAAGCGACTATTTGAGAATCCGGCAAGTTATTACGCTCCACGGTCTCACAATGCCAACAAATTATATCGACCTAAAACAAATCTCACACTCACATCAAATAACAGTTACATTATGTGCATTAAATTATATAACAAAGTTCCAAATTCCATTAAGGCACTACCTTTTCATAAATTTAAACGAGGTTTAATAAACCTGCTAATTGACAAATGTTTTTACAGTGTGCTTGAGTATTTAGATTATAAATTGTAATATGTATTTAATGGTTTGTGAATTGTAATGTAATCTATTTATAATATGTGTGACATTCCTATAAAATTGACATTTATAGAATATTGTGTGTGACATTTATGACATTTTGTATTAATTTTGTGACATCTTCTATTTTATAAAATTCACTTCTAATCGTAATTTTCTTTGAGATAGCAGTATAATAAAATTTTGACAAGTCTGTAAAGTACCTACATTATTTTTGCACGCCGATGTTGAAGGCAAAATAAGAGGACGTACCTATGTTATTAGAAAATGACAACTATCTGTACCTTATTTACGCAAATAAATAATTTTTGATTTTGATTTTGATTTTGAAGTTTGTTAAAGAAATTTCATCCTTATTGACCCTAACGATCGATGCAATAAAAGTACAGTATGCAACTTTTACAGATTTTAGTTAGTAGTTTTAGTTCACAGGTTCGATTACCGTGTGCGGCAAGCGAGTATTTAAAAATCTTCGAATGCCGTTTTCTTTCTTTTAAAAAATAATGGAATGTTTTCTTTGAGTTAAATTTTCTATCTGAAGTACTAAGAGTAAGAGTCCCCTATAAAAAAAGTGTAAGATAAGATAAATGCGAAAGTTTGTGTACTTATTTGTGAGATTAGGGTGAAATTTGAAAAAGGTGTAGAGTATGGCATGGATTAACATTATATACTTCTTTGTCCCACGGGAACGAGGGCAAAGCCGCGGGCTACAGCTGGCATAATTTGGTACCTGTATCCCATGAGACCTCCCAGAGCGGATGTGGTGCCCAACATCAGAGTGTAGTTTGAGGGATCCTGGCTCAGCTGGTAAGCGCCAACACCTAGAAAAGTTTATTTAAAAAATAAGTAATTTTAGTAGGTAACCCACTTCAAAAAAGGTGCCCAATTTGACCTGTATGTATGTAGGTATGTATGTGCGAGGTTATCTCACGACTCGCTGAACCTATTTTGATGTAATTTTCAGAAGTGTTTGTTACACTCAGTAGACGGTTTATACATGAATTTAACCGACATCAAAAAAGAGGAGGTTTAACCCGTCGAGCGTTTCAAAATAAAAACAAAACATACTAGATTTTATAAAAGAGAAAGCAGCATGGAGCATTTTCTCTTATGATCCACCGGGTGCTCATAAGGACGCTCGAGGGGTTAAGACGGTTTTTTAAACGTAGTTTATAAAAGAATTATTTATTATACCTACACAAAATAAACGCGAAGTGCTGCTAATGAATATGAGCCTCTAGCATGGCTTGAAACTAGTCGAGTTCCTCGTCGAATTATTACGTGAGTAAGCCGAAAATGATAATAATTAATTTACATAAAACAAGGTTCATTAAGCCTGACCAAGTCGCACTAGTTTTTTTTTTAGTATAGTAATGGTTAACTGCTCTAAATGCGAAACCAATTCCTTTTAACGCTAATGTTAATGGTTAATGGTGTTTTGTCTTACCTAGGATCGATCCAAAAATGAGCCCAGCGCCCAAAGAAGGTATGGATCCTGAAATTAAAATAAAAAGTAAACAATTAAGTATCACAAAATAGACTAAAATGCTGAAAGAGTTAAACACAAAATAATTTGATTTAAAATATTAGGTAAATTTATAACATTAGTTTCATGGAGTTTCTTGCTCGTTCTTCTCCATAGGAATCTACACCTTGGAATGATGAAGTAAATAGCTTTACCTTTAATTTTTTTATTGACGTTCAAAAGTGCCTTCCTGGTCTAATTGAAATAAATGATTTTGACTTTGATTACAAATCCTAACTAGTAGCTTCGAGACTTAGGCCTATTGTTCACGTTGTCGCGGAGAACCTAACGGGTTACCGGGGCTCCGGCTCGACATCCAGGAGGAGGAACGGGGTGGTTTTTATTTAGTCAGTAAGAGTCTGACACTCCCTCCCGCCTCACCTAGGCGGGAGCAGTCATTTGATGATTTTCCCTCCTTAAAAAAAATTGTTCATGTTGCGTCATTCAACGAATATACCTACGCATTCGTCAAAAATGAGGTTTAACGTTCTCGCTTCGTGGACAGTTTTCATTATTCCTAAACAAGATACAAGCATTTATCATTAGTAGACCGCCTATTATTTGTGAAGGATGCATGCATTCGTCAAATGACGCAACGTGGACAGAGAGGCCTTAGTACGAGTTTGTTTTACGTTTAAAGTAATCGTAACGAGTACGCGTTTGACGTTCTGAGTGCCAAGCACGAATAACTATCGCATTCGTAACGTAATAGTATCGAACCAACCAATCAGAACGCTTAACTCGCTCGATACTATTACGTTACGAATGCGATAGTTATTCGTGCTTGGCCCCCTGATTGGTTGATTCATTGGCGGCGGCCAATCAGAGTGCCGAACGCGTACTCGTTTCGAATACTTTAACGTTCGGGGTAAAGGCTACTGTTATGATCAATCTTCTAAACATAATTTTTCGTCAAAACAAAGCGTTCTTCTCAGGTACATAAATTGCTCCACATAAGAAAGGTGTTAAAATTCTTCAACACCAACATAAAACATTGAGCAGTATAAAAAATAATGATAATTTGCAGATAACAAATAATGGTAATTATAATCAAACAATACTTGCACAAGTAATTGTAAACTACATGAGCATGTGCATGTTAATAGTAAATTAAACAAACCTATTGAATTTAAATACAATAGTGTTTTCAGTGTTAAGTCTACACATCGGTAAAGTATCGTGGTAGCTTATAACTTATCTTTAAGATGTGACATTCAAATTACAATCTTATGACCTTGACTTTAAGACCCTGTTTAATTACAACAATTTCAAGTTTTTTTGACACAGCTGGTAATTGTATAATTATTCATTCTGGTGGCTGTTTCTGATATTTTTTGCAATATGTGAGTGGAAATGTTGCTACACAGTTGCTGCCTACATGCTTATTTTAACAAAATAAAACAGATTGACACTGTTTATGTATGTAATAAAACAAACTATTTAAATGAACAGATTTTATTTAACTTGATAAACTTACTGCAGGTGACAAAAATCTAATAGAGAAAATGTCTTTGAATTTTCACAGATCAGAAGAATTATTTTGAAATTCTAATTGTAGTAATAGTAATAGACTGAAAGCAATACAAACGAGGTAGGATAATAAATAGGTCTTTACCTATGACGTGCGACTTTACCTACGAAATATGCATTGCATGGGTCATTATTGCATTGCATGGGCAAAATAGATGAAAAAAAATGGTTTCAATTTCTTCATACATAACGGCTACGTATATGCCCTGGTTGGCATATGCATAATGCCCTTCTTAAAGAAATCAGCTGGACGGGAGGTAACAAATTATTCAAAGGCATTTTGCGCTAAGAAGTTATCCAAATTCTGGAAAAAGTTGATCAATGATGACGAAAAAAAAAATGAAATGAGATGAAAATGTAACACTTATAGAATAAATGAACAAAATATGACTACCTAAGTGCTTTTGGAAAAAATTCATGTATTTAAATTAAAATTAATTTGAAATTAGAATTCTTAGCCAAACAAAAATTATTTTGATTTGAAATGGCCAGTACTGCAGAATGTGCTCCACCTGGATTTCAGGTGTTCATCTAAAGCTGTTCGCTCATAAAAATTATCTACACAATACTTTTCTTTAGTAGAGAATGATCAGATACAATTTGGGTACGAATTGACTACGACACTATACATTCAGTGTATAAATCGATTGTATCTATAGACACAAGTGTCTGCAATTAGAAAATTTATTGCGACACGGTAATTAGTGCCGCCTCAGCTGCCGGCCGGCTTATGATCCTTAGAAGTGTGAAGAGTACAGACACTAATATCTGTCTGACATTTATGTCATAAAGTATTTAAGTGTGGGCGAGCAATGCTTCGGCACGAATGGGCCGGCTCGACCAGAGTGATACCACGACCTCACAGAAAACCGACGTGAAACAACGCTTGAGTTGTGTTTATCGTGTGAGTGAGGTTACCGGAGGCCCAATTACCCTCCCTAATCCTTGAATGCCTAACAATCCTCAAATTCCCAATTCCCAAAAGGCAGGTAACGCATTTGTAACTCTCGGTGTTTCGAGTGTCCATGGGTGACGCCGATTGATTACTATCAGGTGATTCGTCTGCTAGTTTACCGGCTAATGCTATAAAAAAAAATTGTGTCATAGTCTATTCATACTTCTATGGATTGCATTTTTTTTAAGGGTGGAAAATCATCGAATGGCTGCTCCCGCCTGGGTGAGGCGGGAGGGAGTGTCAGACTTACTGACTAAAAACCACCCCGTTCCTTTTCCTGCACGTCGAGCCGGAGCCCCGGTTACCCGTTAGGTTCTCCGCGACTTCTATGGATTGCATGCAGTTGCTATACGGGCTAGAGCCATCCCTACCTACCTCACAGTATGTACATATGTTGAAGAATGTCCAATAATCATGACCATCTAGAAAATATTTACATCATACACATCATTCCGTTTTATCATAATTAGCATAATAATAGAATGTTATTGATAACAAGTTGTGTTATTAATAATACCTGTACTCAATTCTTATGTAAAGAGTTTTTATTAACACCAAACAATGGTTAATTAAGTTGGATGAATGTATTCATTAATTATAAAGTTGCTCTTAAACTATATTTTAATTATGAATTAGTCTGGTACTGTATTTATGTGCAATAAGGACTTAATAATATGCGGAAAAGGGCAAAAGGCTCCTCCAACCCTGAAAGAAGCGAGACATAGTGTAGGACTTTTGACTAAACTTCAGCATACACCTAACAAGCACGGCTCCGGAACGGCTCCAACCCAGCAATTAACTTGTCATTTCAATATGAACTTTAAATTGTATGTCGTATGACAAATTTCATAGCGTCAATATAAAAAAAACTGTCTTTTTGTATTGTTGCCAAAGCAAAAACGCCCTGCAGGAGCCGTGCTTTTTATGTGCTATGACCTTAGACCCTACCCCATTCTAACTTCTGCTATGAGCCAGACCCCATTAACCCTTTTGGTTCTCAGCATTTTATATTATAACTTTTTTTTTGCCCCACACTAGGATGTTCTCCTGTGTTGTGGGTGCTTCACATACACACACCTAGACCCGGAACAACAATCTGTGGATCACACAAAGAGTTGTTCCGTGCGGGAATCGAACCCGCGACACGCTGCGCAGCAGTCAGTTGCCAACCACCGCGCCAACCGTCCAGTCATCAACTATCTACTACAGTGCGGTTTCACCCGCTACTTGCGCTTTATATAATAAAAAAATTATAAGATAATTTTTTATTCTGTAGTAGGGTTTTCAACCCGGGTATTTAAGACACTATTTTAATATATGGGTGCTATTTTCCGAGTAACGTTTTAATATTCATCAAAAAACTAGCTCCTGCCACCAACTTTTTCCGCATATGTTCCAATATACATAACATAACATCACGCCTTTTATCCCCGAAGGGGTAGGCAGAGGTGCACATTACGGCACTTAATGCCACACTTTTCACTATTTATGTTATGAGTCCGATGTAGTAGGGGGTGAGCCTATTACCATATACCGGGCACAATTCCAGAGTCCATGCTACTACTGAGAATTTTGTAAAAACCCAGTAATACTTTGCCCGACCCGGGAATTGAACCCGAGACCCCTTGCCCGGCAGTCGCACTTGCGACCACTCGGCCAACGAGGCAGTTATTCCAATATACCTTTTTTTAAATCATTGCCCCACAATAGTATTATCTCCTGTGTCATGGGTGCGTTTACAAACATACAGTTTTACATACACATGACACCCAGACCCAAAACAACTGACCAGAGTTGGCACGGTGGCTGGACAACCGACTGCGACAGCAGGTTCGATTCCCGCACGGAACAACTATTTGTGGGATCCACAAATTGTTGTTTCGGGTCCGGAATATATATGAACATGTGTATATGAATTTGTATGTTTGTAAACGCACCCACAACACAGGAGAAATAAAAGTGTGGGGCAAAGTATCTTAAAAAAAAAGTTTATTTTACAATCCTTTTTTTCCTACTTTATTCAAATATTTATTATTTGCAAATAACATACTAAACTGCCAATCTCACAAGAGAGAAGAAAAAAAATAATAAGTTTAATACTGATGAAGAAGAAGTATGCAAAAATGCTAGACCAAAGTGATTAGCAGAGGACACATATCGTGTAACACCTATTTTTCTCTACTTATGATACAAGTCTTGTTTACTTGACAACTAACCACTACACTTAGATACTACAGCTTATGCCTTCACAAAAAAATTATGACTTTACAAAGAGATAAAACGCTCAATAAAAGTTCTTAAAGGAACTTTTGGTACAAAATTATGATGTTATAATGCATTACTTTATCAATGTCTTGGAATAGTGAATAGGAATCCTTTTAGATAACATATAATTAAATTCACAGTAGTTATTTTAAACATGTAAGTCAGCTCAGACTGCAAAAAATTGGTGTGATTCAATTTTATTATCTGTAAAAACAACAATATGTACCCATATTTGTGCAAATAAATAATTAGAATTTAAATTTGAAGAAAAACAAAATAACAATGTAATATGACACAGATCTGTTATCAAAATACATAGCATGATATTTTCTACTAGTCTTGTATTGATGACTGAACTTAATCAGCTTCCGCCTATTGGATAAATTTACGATAGGTGCACAAAAAAGATAATAGCACTTATCGAATTTATTTTCAGGTGATTACATAAAAGAATAAAATAACTTTGTCATAACCATAAAATAAATACACAATTTACATACTTCTAGAATATTACCAATAGACAGTACTATGTTCGGTACTTTAGTTTTTAAAATATGCGAAGGAAATGATTTAGTAAAAAAAAATAACTAACCTGCTTTCGCGTAACCCATAATGCCGCCAGCGGCAACAGTAGCAGCATAAGCGAAGCTCAAAATATCGACACCCATTTTGTTATTTCAATTGAAAGATATTTTCTCAAAATATTTTTATACTTTCCAAGCAAAGTTATTAAATTTTCTAAGTTCAACAACAATACGTGCTTCTTCTATCAGCTGAGTTGAAGTTTCGATTCAGTCATCACTTCACGTCATTTTTATTCACTTCATCTGACGTTGTCACCCAGTGTTGTTAATAAATAGCACAGAGTAGTATTAAAAAGTGTTGAATTTATGATTCAGAATTCACAGTTCCTCAGCAAGATTGAACAGCGGTAGCAGACATTCATTTCTATCGATATTCAGATATCTACAAAAATGACATGCTCTTCACAACTACTACGCATCAATAACAAATACAAGTCCAAATCAAATCACTGTGATTTTTAAATTAATTAATTTGTTGAATAGGTTATTGTATTGAATCATCCCGCGTTTCTAATAATTGAAAAAGGGCCGCTACCACTTTCAAGCTAAACTCCTCAAATCACAAAATACAACAAATATAAAGCCATTGTTACATCCACGAAAGATACTTCTTTTTTTTCTCTATAGTGTATTCTTTGCTTTTGCTGTGCTGTCACTTTTCTTGTCACATTGTTTTCATTTCTCAAATCCAATGTCATGAATTAATCAATTTTGACAGTTCGTTCGTGATAGAATTTTAATCAGAAATATGAAAATTTCCTAAAATTACAGTTTTGCCGACTCATTATTCAACTGCCATATCTTCGGCAACCTACAAAATAACCTCACAAAAATGTTGCCCTAACCGTGCTAGACTATTTCGTCATACTTTGCAATACGTCACAGATACAACTTCCACAGCTGATTGTGTATAAAATTATGAGTTTTCGTGTGCAAGGCCAGTATTCAGTCGTTCCTAGTCGCCGATAGCGGTCGACTGCGCATTCGGATTACAAAAATATTGAGCTTAGAGTATTTTTTGTGTGTGTGATATTGGCCGGTAACCTTGGCTGTGTGCGAGGCCGCGAGTACCTAACTACCTAATACAAATAAAAAAGTTAATCTAGTTGGTCACGATGTTGAAGACGGCGTCTAAAGTGACAATAAATACCGGCAACGTGCTGAACTTGATCGACATCAAGAAGAAGGCTGGACAGAATGTGACTGAGGAGGTTAGATTTATATTTTATAATAACTTCAAGGATGTTTTAGTAATACATACTCATACATACTGTAAATACTAACTTAAATTACATCACCGATGCTTCTCAAATGCATACACAGCATTTTTGCATTGCTGTACTCACTTGCTTTTAGTTAGTTCATTTGAAGTATGGTTAATTATCCATTTATCTTTAATCTTTCAAGATAATATGAGTACTAAATTATGTGGCTCTTCATATTTAACATAAAGTATATTTTTATGTTCAAGATATCATGCTTTTTGCTTCATTTTATGAAGTCATTTTGTAACAATTTTATGGGTTAATTGATAGTGATTATGATATATGAATAGATTACCTTTTATTCATATTATTATTCTTAAAATAGTCAATTTATTATCTTGGTAATTAATTTAAAAATATAAACTATAATTTCAAAAATTCCCCCTAAAATAACCAATTAATTTATACATATATAAAATAATGTTTTTTTTTCATCTAAACAAATGACAGACAATAAAATAAGTTTTAATTAGAATAGGTACTAAGTTACTGCAACAGCCAGCACAAATGAGATATAAATGTTTTTGACTTGTGTTCTGAATTAAAATGCAAGTTAATATAAAAATTGTATTATAATTAGTAATATAATAATATTAATTATAATTATTACTTAACTAAACTTTATTATGCTGCCCTTTCAACTAGATATGAAATCATGATATAAATAAAAATATAAAAAAAAAATATTTCTCAAAATACTCTACAGATACAAATTATTTAAGATGTTACAATTATGAGACTGGTGTCTGTTAAAGACAGAACCTGTGTTATAGATCTCCATGCCTAGGTGACTCCAGAAACATTAAATCAAAACATAACTAATCTTTAGCAAGTGCCTAAGTAAGTACCTTACCAGTTTTAATCTGACAAAACAATGTATCTATCTGTCTAACTATAGTATATCAAACAATATATTTAATCAATAACTTCCTACATCACTTGTTGTCATAACACACATAATTATGACATGTGATACCTACACACTACATTTACTAATAAGTTCTAAGAGGAAATAATTGATTGTTCATTTGTATTGAATAGGTTCCGAAATTACTGGATCAATTTAAAAAAATCTATCCTCTTTGCAATTCATTTGCAAGTCATTCGATGATTTTCCCCCTTAAAGAAAAATCCTCTTTGCTAAGTGTATTGTTTAGGGACAGGTAGTAATACAGGCTAGATGTTATTCCAATTAGATTTTGATTTGGAGACTCTAATTAGTTGCAGAATGTGGGTGAAGTTATTTTAGCTCAATTAGTCATTAAATAGTCGCCAGTCATGGCAACTATTCAACATTTTCCTTATCTTATAGTTATAAATATATATTGAGTCGATGTCTTAATAAACTGTAGTATACAAACTGGTTACAACACCACAGATTATTAAGTAATAAAATTTAAAAAGGTTTCATTCATACATTGTTATGAATGGCATTTAACATCTGTGGAGACTGTTACTGTTTCTTTTTTTATATTTATTATAATATACTGTTCCTTCCGAAAAAAATATTGATAATTTGATAGTTAGAATTGTTAGGGCTATATTTTAAACCTTAGCTAAACTTAATCCTTGAAATCCTTCATTCCAATTCTTCTTTAAGTGCAAGAAGGTAATTGTGAATATGTTTTCATTCTCCTTTTGTTTTCATTATTTGACTGTAACTACATACTTCCAACATTTAACTCTTTGAGTACCGTCATTATAGACACAATTAAAGAACAATAGGTCGCGGTCACCGGTGACCGCTTGGTGTTTGACAGATTAAAAAGAAACAAATTATGAATGTTACTTACTCATGGACCCTACATCCCTTCCCAATGCAGAAATCCGTAACTAGGCATTAAAATTGTAATTAACTAAAATGTAAACCCTGATGATAGCTGTATGGTAGTCTAGGTGACTATTTATGTAGTACCTACCCATCGTAAGATGCCAGAATACACTTACACATTCATCATCGAAGACGAAAATAAAAATAATATTATAAATGTGTTAGTTTATATATTTGTGTGTATATATGTATGTTTGTTACTCAATCACATCAAAATGGCTTTAGGAATTGGGATGAAATTTGGTACAAGGACAGATTATGGTCTAAAATAATGCTTAAGCTACTTACTATCCTTTTTTTTTTCTATCGCGATGGAAATCCTCATGGACTTCCCGCGTCGTGGGGACGACGAGGGGGCGTGCCGGACTCTTACCCGCTAAAACCACCGCGGTGTTCCTTCACTGCCTGTGACCGTGACCCGGGTTGCCCTTACGGAATCACCACAAAGCTACTTACTATCCTAAGAAAATGTGGGCGAAGTCGCGGCAGAAGCTATAAGTTACATAAATTTTCCTTAACAGGACTGACTCATGAATAATAGTTAATGAGTTGTGAATGGATGTAAAACAATAGGTGTTTGTAATAAAATTATTTATTTATTGTGTTTGCCTTGTACACAATATTGTACACATGGTGACTTAGATCAAGGTTAAATTGTACTATTGCAAAGTTTAGTTAGAAAATGTATTCAATATTTGAAAAATATAATTATGGAAAATTGATTTGTAAAAAAGATGATGAAAAATGAAGGTAGATGATAAAGCAAGCCTTATTACTTTCACTATTGAATAGAGACTTTCCTCTTAGGCCATAATTCTTGCACTAGACAGGCAGCTTTGGGGGCACAGTTACGTCATAAAAGGTTTAAAGTTTCGAGGTCTGTAACTCTTGAAAGGATTCGGCTGCCCTATTGTTCTATCAAAGGTAGCCAAATCTTGGGGGTGTCGAATCCTGCTCAAATAAGGTCCCTAAAAATTATTCCCTAAAGCTGCGTAAGTTAAAAAATTGGATTAAGTACTTATGTGCCCAAAAGAAATACAGTTTGAATTATCTGGCCATGCCATATAAATGGCAGTTTTGTGACTAAATGTTTTGTGTAGTAGGTAAAGTATATACCTTTACACAAATTATGTAAATTATAGCTAAACCATTATTCAAGTCATACTATGACATGACAGTCAATATTTTACTCAATAACTAGTTTGAACAAGTACCTGCCTACAAGTTTTTATAAAAAATATCTTTTTAAAACCTTGATCCACTTTTTCATAAATGTTCATAAATGAGATGGCACTTTTTTATTGAGTCGTGATCTGTTTGTATGGTAAATTCCGTCCAAATCCGTACCGTAATATACATATCAAATATTCACAAATATCCATCGTTCCAGGTAGCATTTTTTTATTTATTTTTTTAAGGGGGAAAATCAACGAATGCCTGTTCCCGCCTGGGTGAGGCGGGGGGAGTGTCAGACTCTTACTGACTAAAAACCACCCCGTTCCTTCTCCTGCACATCGAGCCGGAGCCGCGGTACGCCCGTTAGGTTCCCCGCGACTCCGAATTAAAAAGGATGAAAAGGACATAGGCTAACAAACTATTCCATAAGAAAACCACATCCAATTCTGTTCACCCATTTAGGAGCTACGGTACCATAAACAAACAGACAGACAACAAACTCTTAACACCGATCTTTTTCAACGGTTTTATTTCTACGTCAAACACAATATTTAAAAAAAAACATAGAACATGGTTAAGTGAAAAAAAAGAGTATTTATAAAACATTATCGGCACTCTGTAACACATACTATGTGGATGACGTCACTGCTATGACTGTACTATTTATATATTTACTTCGTAAGTTCAACACTAATGACTAGTAAAACGCAACGTCATGGTGCTTCCATATCTTTCGACTAGAACTTACCTACGTTATTTTATAAACATTGTCAGTCATATCCGTATCGATTTAAATTTTAAATGTCATTTTAAAAAGCATCATCGATGTTTTGGTATAGATTATTGTTTATCCTTTTTTAACTGACAACAAATAAACGAGACGGACCATCTGATGGTAAGAAAGCGGGGCCGCGCATGGACCACGCAACACTTTTTTTTTTGTATATTAAGTATTTAGTTTTTTTTAACATCCACGCATTACTATTTTTTTAAGGGGGCAAAATCATCGAATGATTTCTCCCGCCTAGGAGAGGCGGGAGGGAGTGTCAGACTCTTACTGACTAAAAACCACCCCGTTCCTACTCCTGCACTTCGAGCCGGAGCCCCGGTAACCCGTTAGGTTCTCCGCAGCTCCGAATTGGCATCAGTCCTATTGGGCCCCATCCATGGTGGTCTGATGGCTCTTTGAGGCGCGCCGTACGCTCGGGTCTGGTTCTGGTCGGGCGGCGAGCCACCCATGCTCGTCGTCGCAGGCCCTCGCTTACGGTGGCCGGAGATCGTCTCCCGATCCCCAACGCCCGGGTGTCCCTCATGATGGCTGGGTTCACGCATGACTATAGGAGTTACAAATGCGTTGCCGGTAGCGCAGGGATTAGGAACCATCTCGTTTTTCCAAGCCTATAGAACAAACAGGAGTCCTCTTTGAAACCTTTAGTTAATGCTTACTTGCATATTTCTACTGGCAGCTCAGAACATTTCTTTCCGGCTTTTTTCCTATATTTGTACAATGATGTCATAATCCGCATTGTGATAATTGATAGCGCTATCACGAATGTGCACCCGAGGTGGTAAATTTTATCGTATCATTTTTAATATCTAATCATCAACGAGTGGTCTTATTTATTGAATGTCATCATAACTATTGTTTAGGGAACTTATTATTCATTTTCAGCCATGATCATCTCACTCACTGCAGAAGCCTCCTTGCACTACTCTCAATGTAATGCTTTTTGCGGTCAATCCTTTCCATAGATGTCCAATTCGCCCTGTAATTTCTCTTTTGGGCCTGCGACATCCATTAACGTTGAGCGAGCTCCACCCAGCAGTGAGTTTTGTCCAGCGCTCGTCTGGTTTATGGCAGATCGGAAAAGTCCTACATCATTCTTAGTACCTATTTAGGAATTCCACATTATCGAATTATAAATGAATGCCTATAAATAAGTAGGATAATCGCGGCTTCCGTAATAACTAACTAGGTACGTGAATTTTTGATATCATTTTACACGTTGCTATTACACAATGTTGTATCATAATTTGTAGAGTTGTAGTAGGTACCTAGACGTGTATTAAACATGATTGGCATCGCTCGTACGGCTACCAATGTTCGTACTCAAAACATGTTTTTGCTAGTCATGATAAACCTGCATCAATCGTAGCTCGTAGCATCGTCATACACCACACAAGTCAAAGCATTCATTTGTTTCCTAAACTTTGCTATTGGATTACCACTTGCGAATGTTATCGAAACTGATCAATCGGTTCTCCTTATTCCCAAAGCCTGTAGGCATAGATACATTATACTGTAAACTACACCGATCTACATAGAAGTTCGTACCTCTGTCCAAATTAGAAAGACGGACGCCCTGTGTTTCCAAAAGGGTCCAACCCATTCAGGTTGCTTTCGTTAGGTGCACTCCATCGTTGCGTTTCGTACTCCATCTTCGGTCACATCATCGCCAACAACCAGGCGAGTTACTGGCCTAGTGGTGACCTATTCAGTAGATATAAAATAAATACTAATGTTCAAGTGAAACAAGTGAATTTATTTCTGCAAGTAAGCTACGAGGTAGCATTTTTACACGTCAACTTTTCAAGCGAACGATGAGGTCGATATGTTGAATGATGTGGGCGTTGGATGCTTGGTACCTACCTACGTGGTATCGCTAATATCGTGAACTGTACCTATACCGGTACTAATGACTAACTATGTAACAGTAAAACATGCCTATCATGCACTGTACTATTGAATTTATATCCATTCAAATTAAACACGAAGCATTACTTCGTTACACACACGAACAAAAGTTTCATGGTGATTCAACGCTGAAATATAAAACCGTGTTCCTTCAATGCGCATGTGTAAACATCGAATGTAAGACAATGTGTGTTGTTACTGTATATTGACGTCATAATACATATGTCATAGTCTGTTTCCTTCCTACAATGAGTATTGAGAAGGAAAGTCCTTATTTCTGATCTATTATTCTAATTTATCAATTTTCCCGGCTTAATAGCTAAAAGGGTTTTCCAAAATAACAAGTATGGTTGGTACTTATAGGAACCGACTTCCTTTCCTTACACATTAATAATTATTCATGTGATTATTACTCGTGGGTATTTAATTAAAAAATACGTCAGGAAACAGTAATGATGACATGATAATTTCCAGTTAGTCACGTGCCCTGTGGTATAAGGCCACGTCATCTCTTAATTTCATTCTGAACTGACTAAGTGCATGTCACTAAATAGTCGGCTTATTTCTAAAAACTTTCGAAACAAACATCATCACCTACCTACCTAAAATACAAATTGATGAATGCCTAAAATACAAAAAAAAACAGACTTAAATATATTTTTTAACCTGTTTCTTATCACGCCAAATACCTACAGATACATACGAAACTACACAACCTAGCTAATTTAAAACAAAGAATCTTCCGATAACCATTTTTTTCTCTAGCTTTCAGAGAGCATCAAACTAACTCTATCGGAATGGGGTACTCAAAATGGCGTCCCTGTACAAAATGGCGTCGGCCCACCTCCAGGAGGTCATCCACAGACCTCACACCGCCATTCCGACTACAAAGTGATGACGGCATCCGCTGCAGCAGGCTCTGAAGCGGTGATCAACATCACGAGGCCTCACGATGACGTACAAATCAAAATGGCGGAAGAAGAACGCAAGAATTTGAAGATCGGAGTCAAGATTTTTATCAATGAAGACAGTACTACGGCCTTGACTGAGTGCTTGGAGAACGGTGAGTCTTTTAATGGTTTTTATTTAGTTTTACCTGACCTGATATTTATCTGTCTTAAGTCAAATCTTGCTGACTAAAGATTTATTTAAGACTTTTAATACTGACCAAAAAGCTAAATCTGTAACTTCGATTAATAGTTATTGCCTGCGATAGTAATAGACGTGTTATCGAAAACAATGAATTGTTCAATCGCTGTCTTTGTTACTCTACCATACCATTTGTCGGCTTTTTTTTATAACTGGTAACAACAGATGGACTACCGACTAGGCTAATTTATACTCAAAACTCAGAGTATGTCAAAAGGGACGCAGAATATTTTTATTAGCACCTTCGTGATAATTTGATGTGCATATAAACTTTTAACGAAACTATTTAAATGTCGATAACACATTGTTCAAATATTTGTCCCAATGCGGAAAGGATTGCGATGTCTGAGGATGGCGCTATATTTTTTCTATGTACATACTTAACAGTCAAGGTTTTAGATTAGGCTCTTTCATGCTCTTAATATTGAGCCAGGATTATATTTTAAGTATTGTAATGTAAGACATTGAATACTTTATCGTACTTTCACATGCCTTTTGCATTACGTACCCAAAAAGGAAAAAATGAAAAAAAAATGACGCTCTGCCTATAGAATAGCTACAAGACTGTCTGATCAGTTACTTAAACCTTTTTTGTTGTAATTCCTTTTTAAAAAAATCTAAACTTGTTTTAGGCGCCGAACTGATTGCGGCACACGATTACAGTTCATTTGATGACTGCTATAAAGTCGTTGATAACAAAACACGGACTAAACCTAATCAGTGCATGCATTGATCACTTATGTAGATTACCAACTGATTACAACCGCTGTGATTTGTTAGTCCTATCTATACAGGAAATTGACGGTACTTACCGTTGAATAAATATAGGCTATTAAAATAGTGAATAGACAGCTTTTGCGCTTCGTAGATGGCGCTGGTGATGAAAAATAGTTCTGTTTGTTTAAAAGTTGGAGGAATAGGTCGCATTGCGATTAATGAAAGATATTGTTTCCAAAAGCAATTGGATGCCACCATACATACTATGGATGTTAGTTCATGGTTGATTTAATAACCGACACGGTAGCTACTAGCTATCCGTGGACAAAATTCAGGCTACTGTTATTTAAGTACATAGTTCATAATTTGATACTAAAGCAAGTGAAACCGCAAACATAAGGTCTAATAACTATTTTGATAGAACTGGTAAAGTCCACATAAATAAAGCATGTTTCTGAACAAATGAGTCCATTGTCCTTGTCTCTCCTTGGTTAACAGACTGTCATTGTCTGTCTACACTGGAAATTAATGTTCTATTAACTAATTGCTTGGCTAAATGGCCTCCTCGTTTACTATTGAAACTCCATAATACATTAAACTATGTCCGCTATACATAGTAGGTATACTTTAATATTAATATTATATATGTATGTTTTACACATTTTTATACTACAGTCGGCTTACTCACGTAACTGTTTGGCAAGGAACACGACTAGTTTCAAGTCGTACTAGAGGCGACACACGACGCGGTGACTGCTAAACTCATATTGGAATGCTGCTCATGAATATGAACCTCTAGTATGGCTTGAAACTAGTCGAGCTTCTCCTCAAGAAGTTACGTGAGTAAGCCGAAAAACATATTAACTAATTTTGTATTTTAGACATGTTTGTCATCATAAGAATCAGTCCCTATTACTTCTGGACTGGGGGCGGGACTTCAAAAGAGGGTGTTATATTTTATGCACACCCCTGACTACTTCTTGTCTTTTATAAGTATCTACATTATATAACAGATAATACAAGTCAATAAAACATTTGTATCTATATTTTCGGACGATATAAAGATGTCATTTTGTTTTGACACTTACCAACGATAATTCAGATTTTTATCGCAATGCCTTTAGGTTATCCTGTTTTCTTTGAATAGTATTCTGTTTCACATAACAACGACGCAAATCCAAAAAAACTACACAAAATTTGGCTCACCCTGACCTCGATTACCTATACCTAAGTTACGTAAAGAGGGGTGAAGCTATTCTTAAATAAGCGGTGACGCATTCAGATTGTCGTCTACTAAACTCAATCGATCGAAGTTTTGGAAAACACCAACCAGATTGTCTATCGATAGTTTTGTTCAGCATTCTTATTAAGGTGAACAATACTTAAAAGATCCTTATTTTCTTCACAATAAGGACGACATCTCCTTACCAATTTAAAAATAGCAAGAAATTGACAACTAAAACGGTGTACTGAAGAGATAATGAAACTAGATGTTGTCATTGTATGTGAAAACATTAGATGAAGAGATACCTTATCTTAATGAGTACTGTTTGCTTGAGCCGTTCCTTGATTACTATGATTATGATAGCTATAGAATTGAACTTTATGCTAATAGACTTAAGGTACTGTTACACAAGGTCTAGAATAGCATGCTAACAGTCGTTCTATTGAGCATGCTCAAAAATTTTTTAAAATCGAACGCCTGTCGATTTACAAGCATGCCCGAAATGAGCGTGCTAATTGTGAGCAATATTCCGACACACACGCTACTAAGTGATAAGTGTTTGAAATTACCATGTTCGACTGTTCGACTACTAAACTTTTAAAAAATATATTTGATATAATGCAAAAAGACAAATCTTATATGACACTTTTTCCTGATATCAAATGCCTTACAGAAGTAGGTGTGTTACACAAAATTGAACCGAACGTCTGTCAAGATAAGGTTGATATAAGTATCTATAGGTAATTTAATTGTGACGTAATATTTTATTACATTATCTTGTGTTCTTTATCTTATATTGATGTGAGGCGTAAATTATGCGTATCAAGAGGCTGGCACGAATAGTAAACATGATTCCCTTTATGAATGTTGCCATAATTAGTCTACTTGTAATATAATAAATTATGTATTAGTGTAACCTATGACCCTATAACATTTGTTAGGGTTGTCAGATATGAATTTTAGGTTCAATGGCTTATGACGTATTTACTTAGTGTATAATTTATATCGAATGGAGACCACGTACCGGCAAGCACAGCGTAGGCCGTCCAACCGGCCTATCTGAAAGTCATTGGGGGAGGCCTATGTTCAGCAGTGGACGTCCTGTGGCTGATATGATGATAATTTATATGGCGATTGCTGTCTTAATAGTTAATAGCTACGACAACTTTGACTAGTTGTAAATATCGCGGGTTACTCACATGAAAATACTGAGAAAAGCTCTACTAATTTCGAACCACATATAACCGCAGTTCTTCCTCATAAGCAGTGTGCGCGGTCGTGCCGATGTCGCTCAGCCGCAGAACCCATCTGGGGTTCGAAACTAGTAGAGCTTATCTCAGTGAGTACGTGAGTAACCCTCGATTTATTAGTTAGTTTAGTATGTCTCACGATAGCTATTATAAAATGATAGTCAGTTGTCATTTTGACCCGTATTAATTTAAGGCTTATGTTTAACTTACCGCCAGATATAGTAACAAATAGCAGACAAAAATAGTAAATGATCACCAAAATGAAACTCGCATTTTAACGTAAAATTATAACCGAAGTTTTAACACTTTGCTATCCTATTTAAGTAAAATGACTCCAAGTAAATCATGAGTAACCCCAAAATAGTAAATGATCACCAAAATTAAACCAACATTTTAAAACCTAACCTAACCTGTCGCGGAGAACCGATGAGTCATTCGATGATTTTCCCACCTCAAAAAAAAAACCTAACCTAACCTAACCTCACCTAGGCGGGAGCAATCATTCGATGATTTTCCCCCCTTAAAAAAAAACCTAACCTATCAAGATTTGGTGATCATTTTCTGGTGTTAAGTAGATATTTTTGGTTACAAAACTAAGGGTGTCAAAGCATTTTATGGTGGTCATTATATTTATCCCCTTAATTTAATAGCTTCTGCCAGCTCCTTGCCTACACTCCCGTAGGATAAAAAGAAGCCTATGCATTATACTAGACCAGAATCTACCTCTGTTTCCAATTTCATCCCAATCCGTTTAGACGTGATTGAGTAACAAACTTAACACAAACTCAAAGTCATTTATAATATGTATTAGGAAGATCACCATTTTCCTCTTGTCTTGGGGCTTTTCCAACTGCTTAATTTATTTAGACGATACATTTATTATAATGTACAATAGAGAAATGTCAATCATAACTCATATAGATTAAAATAATAAAGACTATGTAGCTACGCGAATGTGAAGTGCAGGCGTAGGAACGGTGTGGTTTTTAGTCAGTAAGAGTCTGACACTCCCTTCCGCCTCACCCAGGCGGGAGAAGTCATTCGATGAATTTCCCCCCTTAAAAAAAGACTACGCGATTGTAGACCTAATTGTGTTTCAATATGTATAAGAAAAATAAACTTAAGGTGGGTCATAATTCTTATTTGTCTATCGTACCTACTTGAGATTTTGAGATGGGTTTTAAATTAGCATTCTGACTTTCCTGTTCGTTGGAAAGACCAGTAATAGGTAGGTAGAATGATTGATTTCCTTGTTTTTTACTAGTTTTGTGTTAGGTACTAAGTCATGTATAAAAATAATGTTTAGTTGGAATGATGGTTCTTTTATTTTTGCTTAAAACAAATTGACTGTACCGTTGCCGCGCAACGTGTCGCGGTTTCGATTTCATAACGGAACAACTCTTTAAGATTCACAGATTATTGTTCCGGGTTTAGGTGTCATGTGTATTTGAAATTGTGTATATGTAAACGCACCTACGACACAAGACAAAATCCTAGTGTGGCGCAATGTTAAAAAAAATAGTGAAACCTTGCCTTACCTTCATTGTACCTATGACGAATAATAATTGTTCTTCTAATTCTATCGCCATTCTGCCTTGAACAAGCGTGGTAATTAAGGCTCATGCCTTCTCCGCGTGAGAAGAGGTCTTTGCTCAGCAGTGGCCTCTTGAATGATGAACAAATAAAAATTATAGACTATGAACCTCCTACTTTACTTTCCTCTTATGAATTGAAATCTAAACTAAATCAGTGACAACCCTATTTTAAATATATTTTTTTCTTATTATTTCAGTGTTCAGCGCACTGCACACAGCGTACATAGACAACGTGATCCTAGCTTACAACCCTGATCTGCTGCATCGAGAGGAAGGCAATGATGACAATACCTTGAAGAATACATACAGTACGAAAGCATCCCCTATTTCCATGGGCAGTAATGGTGAGTTCTTTTACAAAATAATTAAAAAAAAGTTAATATAACTTTTTAAGTCTCGCAGGCTACCAAAAAGGTTGGCAACTCATTTATAATTCCTCTAGTGGTGCGAGTGTCTATCAGCGCTGATTGCTTACCATCAGAGAACCTGTCTGTTAGCCTACTTCTCTGTGTTAAAAAACCTTAGTTGAAAAACCATATACCACCACCATATTTGATGCCATTTTTTTATGGGCTAAGCCGGTAAACGAGCAGATGGATCACCTGATGGTAAGCAGTTGGCGTCGCCCATGAACATCTGGAACAGAGGCGTTACAAGTGCGTTACCGGCCTTTTGGAGATTAGGAGTTTGAGGGTTCTTAGTATTCAGGGATTGGGGGGATTGGGGAAGAGGGCCTCTATATTATTAATTAATTGGGCCTCCGGTAACCTTACTCGCACGACGTGAAACAACGCAAGCGTTGTTTAACGTCGGTTTTCTGCGAAGCCGTGGTATCACGGTCGAGCTTGCCCATTCGTGCCAAAGCATAGCTCTTCCACACTTATTATGTGGTACAGTTGCTAATTTTACGCCGAAAAGACGTCATACCTAATTTTGTTCCTGAAATTACAGCTCTATCACTTGCAAGTTGCAACTAGTACATTTTTAATAACAAATTGTTCATACTTCATACAAAAGTTGTGACCATACCTCAGAAAAAAGGTCTTTAATTGAATGAGTAAGAAAAGGACACCGGTGTCCTCTCGGGGAATAAAAAGCAAAAAGCAGCAAGCAACCATGAAATAGTGAAGTAACTAAACTAACTGAATCTTGCCAAAATTATTTTATCAAAATTAAATAAATGACTAAAATTAAGAAAGAATTGTTCTGAAATATATTTCTAGTAGGTACCGTGGTTTCTATTCCAGTGCGCATGTCGAGTACGGAGGTTGAGGCGGATAATGAGGCGGACGCGCGCAAGTGTGAGGCGATCCTGCCTGGTATCAAGATCCTTTGGGCCGTGCTCGAAGACTTCGTCAAAGAAGGTAAGTTTTTACTTTAGTAAAAGTAGTTAACTTTTTTGGTGAACCAAGGGCTGATTTTTCCAACGCCAGATAAATTTTAACTGAGGTATAACTGAATAGTTGACAATTCTTCCATACCAAAAATTGTAATTGAAAAATCGACCCTAAAAATAATGGAACCTTTATGCTGTAGGTCAGTGTAGGTAATAGCTAAAAAGCCCACTTTGACCAAGCTTTGTGATCTATGTTCAATTTCTCTTGTCCAGTGGGACAGTTACAGTCAAAACCAAGCATAATCTACAACATGATCTATATTTATGTTATAACTTTCGTGAGACATACTACATGCGGCGACTGTCGCGCTGCTATTGACCGAATCAGCAGCAGAGCGACAGTCGTCTACAGAATATAAGCCTCTAGCATGACTTGTCGAGTCGAGTTCCTCGTCAAATAATTACGTGAGTAATCCAAAAAAACAATAATTATTAATTAACATGATCTATCTTTCCAGGTCGCGTCCAACAGCTAGGTGTAGCAGATGTAGGCGGTGGGTGTCTACGTAAGCTGCACGCGTGGGCTCGGGTCCGTCCGTCTATAGCTCAGATCAACCTCGCCTCGTGTTGCGTAGTACCACCTTCACTGCACGCCTTCTGCCGAGCTAATGACGTACAGCTGCTTACACACGCTGATCCTCCAGGTAATTGGTAGTTTTAATTTTTTTTAAACTTTGCCCACACTAGGATTTCCTCCTGTGTCGTGGGTACGTTTACAAACATACAAGTTCACATACACATAACCCCGAGACCCGGAACAACAATTTGTGGATGACACAAAGAGATGTTCCGTGCGGGAATCGAAACCGCGACACATTGAACGGCAGCCAGTGGCCCAGCCACCGCGCCAACAGTGCAGTCAAATCCTAAATTATGTGAAAAGTTACACAAACCCCCACATTTCACCAGCGATTTAAGTCCTCCATAAACATATTTCCAGTCCCATATTATGTTATATGGATTAGACTATTGTCATACACTGGGCATAATTCCAAACTTCATACTATTGTTGATAAATTAATGAAATATAGAAATACACGCTGCTAATTCTTCAAACTTATTTTCCCGAAAAGATGTGTAACATAAGTCATACTTTTGCTAGTAATGATATACCCCTTTTAAAAATGGTAGTAAGATTTTATCAAATATGTGGGTATTTCCATTTCACTGTATAGACTTTTGAATTAAAAAAAAATACAGAGGTTTTGTTTGATCTAAGGATCGGTCTCACTATATCTTAGTATTTTATTCATTAAATTAAAAATTGAAAAGCAAACTTCACATTTTAAACGCTTACAAGTTCACAATAACAAAACGATGCCGGCATTAAGTCCGCCATCGTATATTATATACAGAAGTGTAAATAAATAAATAAATACTAACTTTCTCACTTTTCATTTCAGATCTACTCTCAATCGCCGCAGTAAAGACCTTGTCAGACGCGGGCGTAGGATGCGACAACTTGGACTGGTGCGCTCGCTACCAAGTCCACATCAAGTGTAGGGGAGTCCTCGCACTAAAGGGATACGTCTGTAAGGCCACGCTCGACAATAAGTCAGATAAATTAGAAAAACTACAGAAGATATAATATCTAACGCGGGAACGTCGCGTTAATAGTAAGGTATTTAAGCATTTTATTCTTGACAAAAGTTGCGCTAACTTGCGCTAAGTCATTGCGCAAACAGTACCGTTTATAGTTAATTGCGCTAAGTATTAGTATGAAATGGTACTATTTTTTATATATCATCGCAAACATTTCTATTAAACGAATTCAGGTAAACTTTAAAGTAGCGCAAGTGTAAAACCTGCTCCTGAATGTTATTGAGCAACTTATTTTTTGCCAACTTAGTTGATCTTATTCACTAAGCGTCGAATAACACTGCTGTTCTTCGTATAAAGAACAAAAAATAATGGGAGCGGGATGCAAATAGGATGTGCAATAACGAGTAAAAGAGACAATTATATTAATGTAGTAATATACAGTGTTATATGATGCGAACTGTACTTTAGCGCAAGCTTTTGTCAATAATTTCGATTAATAGTTTAATTTAGGCAGTATTGACACCATTAATGCGAGGTCGTTTTAGTATATGTTTGTAAAATAATAAGCAACTATTGATTACATATTAAAGGCAGAATCAATTTGCATTTCATCCCAAATATCGCTTAGATTGATCAAAAATACATTAAGTAAAATAAATAAGTATTTGTTAAAAGAGTTGGTACAGAATAATGATTTCTAAAGTTAGGTATATTAAGTTTATTTTAGTTTCAGGATTATAAAGTTACTTATTATCTTAGAAACATTAGTCAACCAGTGCATTTTAGACATTTAGGTTCATATGTATAGCGTAAATTGTGATATAGTTCCATATACTTAAACTATGTACTTATAATTGTTACTTAACTTCATAAAGGTGATTGTTAAGACACCATACTCGCATGATTATTTGTGCAACCATAATATCTACAGAGAATATATTATGGTTAATTTGGTCGCCGACAACCAGACAGTTATGAAACCCAGTTTATAATACCCGGCACGAAATAAGGCCAGGTTTTTCGTGGTGAAGTTAAGTTAGCGTATCGTTTATTTTCACTTCAAACAATACAAATTACCTTTTCTTATTCTTACGTTAACTTATACCTTAGTAGACATGATTAAAACTAAATGATGGCGAATGACCAAAATAATGAGAATATACGCGCGAACTTAGTCCTAAGACGAGAATTTTGGCCACGGTTCGTAACGGAGACTATTCATCAGAATGAACGGTTTCACCAAACACCCCTAGACTATCTAAAAGTAACTTAGCGTGATGTAGTACCTAATCTAACCGCTTATGTTGTTAGGTGTCACTCCAAAATGTTGTCAAGAGTCATTACGTGACTCTACCAACTTAGGGGTACCTTAAAATTTAAGAAAGGGTGGTGCAAACTGTCATGAGACACTGATTATTAAATTATAACGTTCAAATTTAAATAGAAAATATTTAATTTCAATTCGAAATACAGAATCGGTTAATAGTGACGTCATGACGTCGGTTTATAAGAATCGAGTTCATTTGATTAGTTTTAAATTAAATTGGATTGCTTCAGTGTCAGAATTATTATTATACACAGTGCACAAGCTAGGTTATACGGTGTTATACGATTAATTTAGTTATTGATTAGTTTTTATAGATGTCGGCTTGTACAGTTGTTTTTGGTTGGGAAATAGACAGAAAAGTATGACTATAATCTACGATGGCTAAATGAAAAACACGAATATATTTATAATGCGAAAATGAGAATGTATGGCTCTTTGAATGCTTGAAAATGTAATTGACAAGTTGACATCTATAAATTAAATAGTTACCTTATAAAATTATTGTTTATTACAATAATTTGGTACTAGCGAATTTGTGATAAGTTTTTGCTACACTATTATAGGCGGATTTTGCAAAGCGCCTAACTGTTTTTTCCAAGCAACATTTATTAAAAACAAGTTTGCATTTTGTTGCAGCCAAATTTTTGTCAGGCGCTATTTAAATTTTAGTTCTAGAATGATAGTATTTCGATGCAGTTAACCATTATTTTTAATGTTACTTTATTTACTACAGATAAAAAATGTTTGTGCAACCAAGGAATTATATAACTGAGTGTGTACTTCGGATTTGTAATCTCATTTATTTATGCTTTGGTTTCCTAATTTCGAAAATTTATTGAACTTATCTGACATAATTATGTCACAATTAAAAAACAATAATCACGGTACAAATTGTTACTAAAATACTGCCAGAAAGTACATTATAAAAGCAATTTAATAGTTTTAAATTAATTTTCATTTATCGACATTCCTTTATACGTGTGCGCGATGCCCCAAGTAGTCTTTTAACTCTAATTATTATGATGACCTCAAAATTATAGCATTACTAATCTATCTGTTCAAAAGAACCTAACAATTATTTTAAAAAAAGTTGCCCTGACAGATATCATTCTGTCATCTGTCAGTTGTCATTGATTCCCGCCAATTTTTAATACTGGTCCATTTTTTAATCAAAACTTTGAGTACTTTATGAAAATAAGCTGCAAAAACGTCGCAACTTATAGAAATAATATAAATAAGCACGTTAGAAACTGTGTTGTGCCTAATATAAGTTTATCTACTCTTATTAGGTGGCGTTAGCAGTATAAATGACAACGGTGCATTAAAGACACGGTTACTCTTGTAAGAAAGAAGTCCGTGTCGCTTTTTTATTTGAACAGTTAATATAGTTATACTATAGTTTTGTTTATTCGTCAATGTTACACACACAAAAAATACATGTTAAATGTTCTAACTTAGATCGTATCTTATAACATACGATTCATAGGTGCCTCATATTTAAAAAAAAATATTAAGATGTTTCTTATGATTTAAAAATACTTAAAAAAGTGTAAAAATGTTTATAATTATAAAAAAATACATTCAAAAATGTATAATGTAAGATGAAACCCGAATTGTTTTAAAATTAAAGTATTTATTGAATAATCCCTTGTGTTTTTATTTTATTTAATTTACAGGATTATCATTGTACTTAAATACTTGTGCAAAATTTTGGATACTGCCTCATTAGCCGAGTGGTCGCAAATGCGACTGCCGTGCCGGGCAAGGGGTCTTGGGTTCGATTCCCGGGTCGGGCATAGTACCAAAGTAAGTAGGGTTTTAAAAAAAATCTCAGTGGTAGCACGGAGTCTGGAAATGTGCCCGGTTTATGGCAATAGGCTTACCCCTATTACTTGGGACTCATAACATAAATAGTGAAAAGTGGGTGTTACACTGGACAGTGGCATTAAGTGTCGTAATGTGCACCTCTGCCTACTATTCGGGGATAAAAGGTGTGATGTTGTGTTATGTTATATTTTAAGCTATAAAAACTAAAGTGAAAGAATTTCACTTACACAAATAGGATGACAATATTCTGTCACTCTTGCACTTTCACTTGTTGACCTTTTTTCTTATGGGATAAGCCGGAAAACGAGCAGATTCATCACCTTATAATAAGCAATCGGCATCGCCCATGGTCACCTGGAACCCAGAGGCGTTACAAGTGCGTTACTGATCTTTTGGGGATTAGGAAATTGTTAGGGATTCAGGGATGGGGGGAGGGGTACGCAAGCGTTGTTTCACGTCTATTTTCTGTGAAGCCGGTCTATTACTCCGGTCGAGCTGGCCCAAACGTGCGGCGTCCCGGAGAACCTAACGGGTAACCGGGGCTCCGGCTCGACGTGCAGGAGAAGAAACGGGGTGGTTTTTAGTCAGTAAGAGTCTGACACTCCCTCCCGCCTCACCCAGGCGGGAGCAGTCATTCGATGGTTTTCCAAAAAAAAAAAACCTGCCGAAGCATGGCTTTCCCACACTTATCACTAAAATCCTCTGCACCTCTACATTTTTTACAACAAGTACCAAAACATGTAACAAAATAACACAACGTTCCTTACCATTATTTTAAATTGACAGGTGTGCATTATTCCACGAAATTTAAAAAAGTAAGAAACGACAGAATACAAATACACAGATAATAAAAAGTTAATTAAAGAATTTGACATTCGCGCTCAAGGGTTGATGGTTGATACTTTGTTATGGCATTTTTTAAGTAATAATATGATATTTTAAGAATGTTTCGCAATAATATTGACAATATTATCAGTAATTGATTGAAAAAAGAGGTTGACATTAATTCGACGACATCGTAAATTCGTCACATGTCAGTATTTTAACATTGTTTTAAGTAGGTACGAAGAAAGTATGGCAACATTTTAGTTAGACAAAGAAAGGGTCGATGTTTTTTAGGTTCTACCAGTTATCATACTTGCCTTCTTTCTTTTTTGACCCCAAGATACTTCAAAGTACCTGTGAAATAGCAAACAGAAGACAGAAGAGGGGTGAATAGATATTGAGAAATTCTTTCTAGTATCGATCCACCCCTCTTCTGTCCCTCTTCACATCTCGATCCCTATTCACCCCATTTTACCGTTACTGGCCATTTCATAATTTTGGTTTGTTTAAGAATTCTACTTTCAAATTATTTGTATTTTAATAACAGCGTGTTTTCCAAAAGTAGTCATTTGTTTATTGATTTTCATTTAATGGGGAAAATCATCGAATGACTGCTCCCGCCTGGGAGAGGCGGGAGCAGTCATTCAAGTCAGGCAGACTAATAACCACCCCGTTCCTTCTCCTGCACGTCGAGCCGGAGCCCCGGTTACGCGTTTGGTTCTCCGCGACTTGTTTATTGATTAGTGTTAAATTTACATCGCATTTCAATCAGTGGCGTAGCGTGCCTTAGGGGGTATAAAAAATTTTGAAGGGTAAACATTACTCACAAGACATTTTTTTACATAAAATACTTATAATTTGTGTGAAAACCAAAAATCTTTTCAGGCAACTCCCTCTGCCCTAATTAGCGGACCTTAATTACTTTTATTTTTCTTAAGTTTCTGCCAACCTTTGAATGCATGCTTAACGTGGAAAAAAAAACGTCTATTTTGACTTTTGTGATTACTGAACTTTAATAAAAATTGGGAAGTTTTATACATTTTTGCTTAGGCACGTTGTACGGGGGC